TATATTTTACCAAGTAAGGCCTACTGAGCGAAATAGCTGTTTGTCAGAAGCGATCTGACCACAAATGATTGCTGAACGAAGTGGCTTATTACCTGGAAATTATAGTAGCCAAATACTATAAACGCGTGTTTCAAAATATGAAGGGAAAATCTGAAGACCCGGAGAAAAATCCACGGGACCACGGGGAGAGAGATATGCAAACTCTAAATATACATGCGTTAGGGTCAGGATCGAACAAACGACCTCCCGAATACCAGGCCAGGGAGTTAACGTCTAAAACGCAGTTAGTTAGCGCAGTAAGGAGCACAAGTGGTGCATCTGTTAGTTATATCAGCAACCCATGACACTTGGGTCTTTTTCGTGACTTCCTGCCAGCGAGGCTTCAACACTGGCCTCAAAGTGCACCTAGCCTGGTACAAACACTGTGGTGACGTCACCATCATTTAGTGGGGAATGGCAGCTGTTGTATATGAGTGTATGTTTTTGTGTAGTTATATGTGGGGAGCGGTGTCGCAGTGTTTCGTGCACTCGCTACGAACTCGGCAACCCGAGTTTGATTTCCACTGACGACCAATAACTGTCGAATATTTTAACCGGGCTTCGACCTCCTCTAGGTCGACTCATCCTTAAATGAGTACCTGGTGCGGTGTGTAAACATCAGTCCTGGGGAGACAAAGGCGGCGGAGCGTGGTGCTACTCACCCATTCCCTTGTGTGCCGTATCAGGCTTAATAGGCCGAAAAGGTTATATGGGGGACCTTTGTGTTTGTGTCAATCGACACCCTGGTCACCCTTACAAACGAGATGTTCCGTCTCAAGCGATTTTTCAGGTGAAATATGAAAGTAAAAAAAAAACACATTCAAAGATGCATAAAACACCTTACGTGGAAAGTGTGAGGAAAACACCAAGGCACAAACATCCCTCCAACTGCCCACTACCTTTTTAAATGCTTGCTTCCTTACGCCTGTGGCTTAAAAAGCATTGGATATATTTGTTAAATGTACCCGAGCATGCTCTATAAAAAGACAGGTGCTTCCTGACAAGTTTACGGAGTGCTGCATTCGAAAGGGCTCGTGAACGTGGAACACAATGCTCCAACGGCCGAGTCGAGCCAATGCAAGAGCATTAATGACACACAATGCAAGAGCGACACGGTGGGGAAGGGGCGAGTCCCCCAGGGCTCCCACTGCGTGCCCACCTCACTCACAGCGCCATCCCAGGTGCCGACCATACATCAACCGCCTTCGCACGGTTCATGAGGCGGTGAGGTCGGGTTATTGTGAGGAGGGTCCTGCTGGGGCTGACACCTTTACCACAGAACAAACTTGGACACGTTTCTCAATCAACCGAGGTCCACTTTCAAAACTATGCAGTGTACTGCGACAAAATTAAATACAAAAACGGGTACTAGATCTTAGTACCAATCAGTTCCTGTCACTAGAACACAGACACTAATTTCCAGACTGAGCAGTTGCATGCGACCAAGAATAGCGTTCATGTGCAAGCAGAGGACGTCCTCATGCTTGCTATTCTATAAGCGGGTGATTGAGTTGAGCGATTTGAGAGCGATTTGGTTGCACGAAATAATTTTAATTTTTATAGCGTTGTTGTGAAGAAAAGCAGTCCGCTTCCTTCCTATATCTGCCCCTCTCACCAGCAGTCACGCTTGTGCACTACAGGTAGCTATCACATTTTAGAGCGAAAGTCACCACAAGCGACTCTACACTTGAGCAACGCCACAGGTCGTGGCCTCGTGACACTGTCTCTGGAATATGGCGCTGGGTAATTAAATGGACTTATAATTATTATTCAGCCAATTGTTAACCTCGTAAATGCCTTTACAATTATATTCTTCAAACTCTGAATACTCGTTTCACTAAAGTGAAACTGATATCATCATGAGTCATCCTCTATCCATTGCTGTATGAAAGCCTTGCCACACTAACCCCATCCCTCACAGTCTTGTGAAGTCACAGCTGGGTGGCTCAACATTTAGAGTGAGCAGCTAACAATTGTAAGGTTGTAAGTTCATATCCTGGCTGCTGGTTGGCTCAGCCCATCATCACTCAGAGAATGATAAAAAAAAATTGTACCACTTTGTGGGGAAGGCTACAGTGAGTGGCCTATGGATAGACCCGTTCTCACCATAGGTATATGGAATTTCCACCACTGGCTCAGCGCTGTAAATAGGCGATGAGGACTGCCTTAATGCTCATTCCAGCTAGAAATTACGTTCACCAAAGGCATTAATGATTTGGCACCTAATCTTTCAGAATTGCTTTTTACTTATGTCCTATCTCTGATATTATTATAATTCTGTGCAACAATAGCACTGCTCAGCTTTAGGCATGCATGTGAGTGTTTCAAGCATTGGACATATCTGTTGAGATAAGCACAACAGGGTAGAAATGAGTGGGTGGTCTATGCTACGCCAAGAGCAAGCTTTTTTTTAGCCATACAGTATGTGCCTTGATCTTGCACGCTTTGCATCATGGTTAAATAAAGCGGCTCACCCATTTTGTTTACCTGAGTCAAGATGCCATCATAATACATGTCACGAGCATTCCGTGTCCATCGTCCCTTCCTGGGCCAGGCAGCCTGAGAAGCGCATCCAAGCGGTGCAGTGACCCTCTTTTGTTCGATGGCTACTGCCTGGCCACATGCAGATGCCAGCGTGTGTGTCGTCCACAGACACATGAAGGGCATTTAATGGCGAGACAAGTAAAAAACAGTAAACTATGACATAATTTTAACACAATTAATAAGCAGACAATACGCCTCCTTCCCATATCTGTATCTCACAATAAAATACATACGTCTTCTTTGGTTCTTTCGGTAAAGTCACGTAGAATGATAATAAAATAATAAAATAAAACAATAAAATTCTCACGACGTTTCGGCCACAACACAAGTAGCCTTCATCAGGTGAAAGAACAGAACTGTCGGGACGACAGTTCTGTTCTTCATCTGTTCTTCATCTGTTCTTCAATGAAGGCTACTTCTGTTGTGGCCGAAACGTCGTGAGAATTTTATTGTCTTATTTTATTGTTTTATTTTATTATTTTATTATCATTCTACGTGACTTTACCGAAAGAACCAAATAAGATGAATCCTTGCAGTCACGAAAGCTTTAAATCGAAATAAAATAATACGTATTCTATTTTCTCACCCCATCATTGGACACACGGCCTTATACAAATTCAGCATCATTCAGTTTTCACATTCAGTGTATCATCAGCGATCAGGCTTGCTTACAGACAAGGACCCTTTCTGTTAGATATGGGTCCTAGTTAAACACAAAACTGTACTATATACTACGCAAAATAATAATTTGCGTCGTCACATTGCCCTATTAGCATACTTTCTATGCCGATTCGTTTGCCTGACAAACAAATTGCAGGCAATTCCCACAGCATACTCAGACACTGATGAAGATTACCCTCACCGGGAAGATGTGTCACCGGATATTTGTCTTTCCGATAAAAATTTTTACCATATTTTCCATCATAAGAGTTTGGGTTTGAGGGTTGGGGGAATTCGAAGTTAAACTGGAATATGGAGTTAAACTGGAATATGGAGTTAAACTGGAATATGGAGTTAAACCGAAAATTGTAGTTAAACTGGCGACCTCTAGATTGCAAGTCCAGCGTGATGAACATTATACCACAGCAGCTCCATTAAAACGATAAACGAAGGGAATTGTTCACTGTATCCTACCCCTAAGCTTCCCTCTAGAAATTAAGTAGGCAATAGATAGCACTACAGAAACGGATTATCGATTCAAATTGGGCAGCACTTCAAGTGGTCACCCCTTGATTTAAAGCTTTCGTGACTGCAGTAATTCATATTCTTAGCTCTTTCGGTAAAGTCCCTTCAACGTGACTTTACCGAAAGCGCTAGGAATATGGTCACCCCTTGTTATTTTCTGAGTGCTGCCATTTTCATCCACCAGCAAACACCCATTCAGGAAACTTGCCACATGTTCAATTGGAAGACCCTCCTTAGAAAGAATATTGAGACTGTAAAGTTATGCTGAGTAAATGCATTGGTATTATTGTGATTGCTTACTCAGCAAAGTCTCAGTTTCAAGACTATTTTTCAGGGGGTTTTTTTGCAGCAGAGGGACTATGCTGCTGCTGTACCTAATCCCAATTGAGTAATTTCCAGGTGATTTATTCGCATTGGGATGTTTGGCCAATATCAGTTACATTCTGTGGGTTTTTTGCGAAAATGAAGGGCAACATTATAAACATGGGACCATCAGTCCACAACTCCCCGGCCACTCCACTCCACCGCCACAGTCACCAAGGTGACTCAGTGGCTGTGGCTTAAACCACAGGTGTTAACGAGACTGAGCCACGCGGCGTTTCCAAACATACATGGTTATTAGCACGGCATAGGAATAACAGATACCCCACAGGGTCCACGGGCAGCTATTGCCTAGAATGCCAGGCAACACAGCAGGGTTTGTTGATTAGTCCCAGCATTGTTTTGTTTAAACCCCAGTCGCTAAGCAAAGTGACCAGCAGCAAACAGCACTAATCAAAATTGTAATAGGTAAGAGTATGCAAGTTTCTTGCACTCACTGACCCAACCACCAACTCCCCCACTCACCGCACTGCAGGTCACAACGCTTCTCTTTCTGCTTCTTCCCTTGCACTGATCCACTTTGGAATTCCCTCCCATCGCTTCCTTTCCCAAGCTCTTATAATTACCTTGCTCAATTCAGGAAACGTGTTACACTCCTATCTATTGCATTTAAAGTACTGACTCATAACAGAGTTTTGGGTTAGGCCACGTAATGTAGATTACACCTGTGTCGTTGAGACCTCCACCATTTGACATAAAAACAAACCTACATGTCATGTTGTTTGTATTTCAGTGCCAGTTGACGTGTTGAGCCGTTGGGCCTGTGCTCAACATTTTTTTTTTAAATACAGCGATCCAATGTGCATGTATCCGTGTGTATGTAAAACCACGAGAAACGCAGAGGGCAGGCATCAGGAAATAACACATTTTGTTTTACTTACAGAGCTGCAATACAACATTCCTTTGTATAAAACTGTGACGTACAGTACTTACAGTAATATGTACATATACATTAGTCGGTTCTATTCCGATGTACACAGCAGAGTCGCAAATCAGCGAGCTATTTCACAAGCTGTACCCAACATGTGAATATGAACATCAAATTTTGGACTTCCACACGAAGCTTTACAATCAGCCACGCCACCCCACCTTGCCATGAAAACGAACCATGAAAAGTTAACAAAATATGAAAAGGGGCCCCGTAATGGGGGTTGATGCAGGGATAGAACTTGTCGTTGGCTAGTTGGTCACAATTGGGGTCAGGGTTAATGTCAGTGGAGGGCGAGTGCTGGTGGTTAACTGCTCACCAACAGATAATGGTAGCGAGAGCATTTGGTTGCATTATTTGGTGAAACTGCATTGGCAGTGGAGCACAAGAAAATCACAAAAACCCAACACATTTGTCAAATACACTCCCTTCTGCACAGCACATGTGCTGGAAAGGTGGGCCATTGCCCAAAATTACGCCAATAACATGTTTTCCTTTTAAGGCCACGGTGTTATTGACTTCATTGTGTGTTGAATTTTTGGTATTGACATTTGGTTTGTCAGTACTGCCCCAAAACCACTCACCCCTCCGTCCCATTGCAATATAGCCTTTTACATTTTTAGTCGCTTTTCATTTCGGGTCTTCACAGCAGTTTAAACATAAATAACAATCTGCCAAAAAAACCCCTTAAATAGGTCCAAGTTAAAGTGTCCCATGCCCTTAAGAGCAAACCAATTAAATAAGAAGACAATTCGCCTCTTTCCTTTATCCGTATCTCCACATTAAAAATAAGACATTTTATACATATTCCTTCGGCCATACGGCCTTTGAGGCGTGCATTATTTCAGCAGCATTGGTTCAAACGCAAGCAAGACGTTGGACTGATTTCGATACACAGTGTCGAATCAGCAGCCAGGTTTACTCACACCAATGCTGCTGAACTGCCAGATGATTATAGACAAGGGCCCTTTCTGTTGCGTATCTAGTGACTTACATTCTCCACGATGCAATTTATTTTATTTCAAAAGCACAAGACGGTGCTTATCTCCATTGGCAGTCACAAACCAGTGGTGGAACTCCACATATGCCTCACCACTGTCTCTCAACAAGGTAACCACTGCCGATTCCTCACCGAGTGTTGTAACCGCACCTGGTGAGGTAGCAACGTGGGCTCAAGTCGATTCTCACCAGGATTTAAACCCGTATCTTCAAGATCACGAGCTCGCAGCTAGCCCAGCTTTAAAACATAATTACAAAAAGAAAACGAGCTTTACATTGTTTAATGCGTAGGCTTTCACGCCCAATTCCATAATACAGGTTTGTTGGGTTAGATCGCGTAAATGTGTCGTTAAACCCGCCACCACCCGCCACAGCCAATTAGTAAGGTTTTTCACGTAAACAGAACATGCCAATTCGTTAATAGTACAGCACACCAGTGTTGGAGAGCCAAGCCACAACATTTACAACCTGAGCACGAGATTTCGCCAGTAATCATCAGGCGACAGACGGATTTAAGAAACGAAACAGGAGGATTTCTCCACAAATCTGGCTGTCGCCTGATGAAGCTAGTTGTAATTACTGGCGAAATGTCGTACTCAGATTGTAAATGTTGTGGCTTTGCTCTCCAAAACACTGGTGTGCTGTACTAGTAACGAATTGACATGTGGTGGTGGGATTAACGGCACATTTATATATTTACACGATCAAACCGAAAAAAAACCCCTTGTATTATGAGCTTTAAATACTTCACAAGCCCATTAGGGGCAAGCAATTAATGTCAAGGCAAATATGTCAAATATATTTAAATGTACACACACTGGTTTCAAGCACATTGGGGTGATTTTTCAACTCTGTGAAGCTATGTGTGGGGTGCGGCTGTTTGTGAATTCAGATTTGAAACCCACCACCGTCTGGGTGGGTGAGCGGAGGGGGTTTGAGAGAACAGGTTTGGGGGATGGAAGGGAGGCATTCGTACAGCACAGGCGTGGCTGCATGCAGAGGTGCGCGAGAAAGAGCGGGTAAGGGTTAGGGTTTGGTAAGGGTCACTTATAAACTACGCACGCATTCAGTTAAAGCGCTTTCCTCGTAAACAATTCAGCCAGGAAGCCGCTCGGGCCACCGATATTATATCAGAGGAGACAACAAGTGGCCAAATATTGACCAGAGGTAAAATGATAATAGTTAACAATAAAAAGAATAATACTAAATGCATTAGCGCAGCCAAGTTTAAATGGCCGAATTCACTGATGGGACAAAGTGGAGGCGAGCCGCATCGCTGCTAATTGTACATTTTAGACGTTTCTGTTTGACACTGCCCACGCAGTGCAGGGAAGCTTGACGGATTGAGGCCGTTACCATCCGCCGCTGAATTTGTATTAGCAGCTTCTGGCCTCTGCTCGTTAACATGATTTATCACCACCCCTCTGGCACAGAGACATGGGGTTGGACCTCACGATAAGTGGCAAAATGACATATCAAACGGGCTTGGCATTTGTTTTACCAGCAGTGTAAAGTAAGCAAATGACATTCAAATCCACCTACCAATGACACCACGGGTCAATGTTTTCAGCAATGTTTAAACTAAACAAGGCCAAGCCTGAACCGGTTTTGACTTCAATGAGTCATCAGCAGGCGGTGGTCTTATGGTATAGCCATGGGCTACTAACAAACACCGTCATGTCCAAAGTTACCATCGGCACAAAAATAGCGACACTGTACAAATCTCAACTGGCATAACTGTTAGTCTGAGAACATTGCCAATGTGCAACACTTAGAGGTATCACTGCTACTTTTAAATCTTGACGTCCAAGTAAAACCCAGTTGCATTATTAATTTGTAATATTCAGCAACACGTTTAAATATACATGCTGCTTCTTGTTTGGTCAAGTTCACTCTCATAATGAATAATTAACAGAGTCCGGTGTGCCTGAGACAATGCCCACTGGCAAACGGTTCCTAAGCACACTGGCTGGAAAGTATCAAAGATTCCCTGCTCAAATGAGCATCGAGGTGGTGCTCATCTGTTCACAACTCTAAGCCATATTGCTGTGATGGTACCACATTGCCGACTCACAACCATCTAACATGTGAATCAAACATTCTGACCACATTTGGCACCAGGCCGAATTTTGGATGTTACATCACACCGCACTAGAAATTGGATTTACTTAATGTATTATCCTTGTTAATCCAGAAAAGCCTCACTGAGTCGCAATACACTTTCAGGAGGGTTCCGCCAAGTTTTTGCACAAGGAGCAATGATGCTACTGCTTTGTGTAAACCCATTTCAGTAAATTGCAGGTAATTTTCCAACATTGAGATGTTTTGGCCAACACCAGTTACGTTGTGTGTTTTTTAGCTATATGAGGAAACCCATGCAGCACATAGGGATAAAACAAACTCCATGCAAAAATACGCCCGAATTGGGAATCGAACCGCGACCCTTGCTGTTGTTACCATTGTGCCACTCTACTGTCAAAAGCATACATACCACAGTCTCTCAAGACGGTGAAGGAAGGAGGGAGGGGTACGAACAGCTGAATTAAATCTTCAAGCTGCTTGGGCTTCACGATTTAAACAAAACTTGATTGCATGGGGAAATAATGTGAAACGTGAGTGATGAAGCTGAATCACCGGGAGTATCGTAAACCACCTGAATGCTCAGTGGGGCCCCGTGTCTCCAGTTTGAAGAGATAAAAAAGTCTGCCCCTCATTTTACATTCTCAGGTTGTGCACCTCAGTGGATTTAATACCTTCTATGCTAGATGGTCCAGAAACAGTCTTGTGAAAAAAAATGTAAGTGTCCATATAGACTTGGAGAGACGCATGCTTGGAATTACTGTGACATAAAGACGAATAAATGGCATAGAGAACATATGCAGGTTAATGACATTTTCCAAAAGATTAGGAAAGTGTGCTTGGACAGGATGCGTGAAGGCAAGAAGGGATGGTGGATGATGGTAAAGAATTGCGACAAAAGTGGCAGCCAAGGAATGGAATCAGATGGACTGATTAAATAAATTAATGTGCAGGTGTTAGATGGATTGTTGCATCACAAGATTGTGAGAGACTGCGGCAGCGGCGGCTTAAGCAATACAGTCTCTGGGTCTCTGTGTGTAAGAAGCCACTGCAAGAACGTTCCAGCTACTCATGGGTCTCCATGTGAGTCTACAGGTGCCTGTGTGAGTCTCTGGTCTCTATGTGGATATATGGGTCTCTATTTGAGTAGTCAAGGCCAGCATATTCCAATGATATCAGTCACTCAATGAGTCCACCTACACACGTTATTATCCAAGTCTATAAAACCCTGGGCCGGAATTTGTAACCTACTCAACTGCCAACAACATTCTGAGCCTCCTGATGCCACCAGTTTCACTTTTAATTAAACCACACACAGCATTGCCTTGCTTTCACTTCCAGATATCCCTGAATCTGAAAGTACCAAGTTCTGTAAATAAAACACATGCTCCTCTGAGTGAACATCACTGTGGGTGGAGGGGGGCGGCGACGGAGGAAAGTCTGGCGTGGATTCGCACCCATTTGTGGAAACGAGTGGGTAATCTTGGCAAACTGTGACAGCACAATGCGGTACAGTAGTTGTTTTGCTTTTAACAGCGCACACACACGTACTGTGTAAAAATATGCACGCCAACACACAAAAGACACCATTCTTTGCATTGACCGAGGGCTTAGACAGATTCCATAGCACACGCAAGCTCACAAGACCCCCCAATTTAGCCTTAACAGGCTTTGGGAGCAAGTTCTGTCTTATTATAACATCTATGAAGGCTGCTACGCCACACACGAGGAAGTGATGTTGCCAGGACCGCTCCCAGTTGCTTTTGTCTCCCCAGTTCTGACGTTCACAACCCTGATCAAGTACAAAGACACACACACGAACAACTCACACATAGTGCACATCATTTGAACTTTGCATGGTGCTATGTAACTCAGATAATGTAAAATATTACCAACTAGGTTACATGATATATGTGAGTTGATTGGGTTTACAGTGGGCACATTCAAATCGTCAAAGTGATGTTCTTCTCAAAAGAGAGCAGTCCTGAGCTAGGAATTTACTTCCCATACTCCTATGGTGTGGACGAGTCTCTCTGTAATACAACCGCTGTTAATTCTCCCAAAAATGTATCCTTATTTTTCAACCCCGGAGGGATGATGGGTTGAGTCAACCCCTAAACTCGGATTTGAACTCGGGACATTCAAATTGCGGGGCATTCGCTCTACTTGGCATATACAGCCAACATATCATACACTCAATTCGAATACCCGAACCCATCGCTGTTTTTTTGTTTTCTGAAGACAAATTAAATGAGAGGCGAATATAAACCCACACCCAACCATAGGCTGAGAACACCAAATCGCGTGTCCTTGGGTAGTTATGCAGACTCACTCCTTTCTTAAACCCAATCTTTTCACAGCATGGTCAAAAGTTTATATTCATATATTTGTATGAGTATATTTATAACCAGTTCTGTTTGTTCAGAACTGGTTTATTCCATGGGCCCAAACATATTTCACTGAACTAAAAACGTAGGTTTTCATTGCCAATACAATGATCCATATTAGTTGTTGGGTTATGCCATATGAGCGAACCCAAAAACAAATATGGATCAGATATTCCATTTGTTCGTGCTGTACCCCTTGAGCTGTGGGAACGTACTTATGTTTTGTTGAGGGCCGTAATTACAGACGAATACAGCACTTGGATGTGATAACGCTTAAAAGGTAATCATATAATCTTGATTTAATTTAAATTTGCTACAAACGACCAGGTTGGCTCAACGGTGGAGATAGTGACTCGCAATCGGAAGGTTGAAAGTTAAGATTCTGACAGGGGGGTTCTCTGCCTATCATCCATCTGGGGTCGATAAAATGAAGACCACTATGTAGCGAAGATCAACAGTGGTTGTCCTATGGACAGACTCTTCCCCATCATGGTAAGGTGACATTTTCACCTCCACCAGCTCAGGGCTGTAAACAGATGAGAATTGCCTCCAATACTTATATGAGCAGAGAATCACTTTGTAATTGTCCAGGTAGATTAATTGGTAGGACTGCCCGCCCAGAAGTTTTGCTCTCACTGACAGTTCCATGTTCTATCTTGTCCCATGGACCAACTGAGCTTTAACAAAGCGATGCGTTTTGCATGGTCACCAGTACCAGCGTCAAGCAATAATTATGAACATATTCATTGCTGGAGCAATGACACACGTAGACTTATGGTTGCAACACAGGACACATGCAACGCATGTGTGTGCATTAGAATGCACAGAGGCAAAATGGGAACACGTAAAACACGGTAGTGATACGTGTGGAGAGCTGTTAACCGCTAGCGGTGAAACGGTAACCAGATTCCCGGTTCCAAAAGTCAGGACGGTGTAATTATTTCGAGTGGAATTTTCGTAACAAATACACTAATTGGCACAGGCGTTTGTCAGTTGACAAGGGTGCATGCAGCCTTGTAATTTCTTGCTCATTCCACTGATAGCAGAAGGGGCTCCACGAGAGGGAGCTCTAGTGGTATTTGGTCTATTGTTTCACGCTGAGCAGACGTGAGCGTGCCCACGCGTTTCCCCACCGTACGCGACCTGGTGATCAACTACGATATATTATTAATTCACACTGCTGGGTGCACAGAGGCGATGGGGTGAGGGATTTAAGAAACTTGCTATCATTGTTCCAACTGCCTCATCGGGAGATGGAATAAAAGTGGCGACCTTTGGATTGCAAGTCCAGTGTGCTAACCATTGGACACGGCAGTTCCCTTCATTACACAGTTAAAAAGGTGAACGTGCTATGTTTACTGCTCTCGACATTTCTATAAGTGCAGCACACCAGTAACTGGGTTTACTGTCTTCCATGCAGTTACCGGTTAAGCAGAAACAATGGTCTCAACAACCATAGTGCGAACAGGCACGTTCCACACACAGACACGGGTCATGTTACAGAGGCAGCGGCAACTTGAACCAGGGGCCTGAGTTCAGAAAACGCTTATAAAATCCGACAGGCAGTGATTGTAGGAAGATCCGAAATTCCATAAGACCAAACAAAAAAACCCCCATGGTAAATAGGGGTGTCCGAGTAAGATAGTAAAGCTGGGTGTACGGCAGTGATTGCTAGGAATGATGTCATCAGCTCCCACTGCACCGGCCAATCGGCTGCCAGGAAGACAAGCCCATGCAACATGGCCACGAGGCCATCCCTCGTACATGGCCAGTCCGTGGTAGCAGTACATTTACGTTTTTAATGTTTGTTATATTATTTTTGTTAGAATTAATGTTCCCATGTTAGTTTAATTATTGGTTTACCTTTATGTACTTTGCCAATCGAGGCAAGAATGATCCCGACCATAACTACGGTCTCTCCTAACTTTACGACGTTTATTTGTTTCAATTTCCCTTGTGGAATTAATAGTCACGGCAAAAGTATTTTAGAATTGTCGGAGTTCTGTAGTCAGGCCCTAGCAGAGGCAAGAGAACCTCGTTCCGCTTCATAATTTCCCGGCGGCTCTGCTTCCGTGATGTTTTAGTCACCATACCCAGGTCTGGCTTCGCACGCCGCCCGACAACCACGCGCAACCACACGGGCGTCTCAAACAATAAAACGCTTTTGACAGGTTCACACCCTAAATTACAAATATAGAGAACATTTCTTCTTTACAAATACATTACGAATATATTACAATAGTGTAAAAGTAGTTATTTTTTACGCATGTAACGCACCATCCCCTCTTATCCTCTGTAATGTTTTATACACATATAAAGTCATAACTTAAATCCGCGTGACTCGCACGCCAGATCGCTTCATCGCAAAAGCTGGGGCCTTGAGCCCGCGTCCTGCATCCCCCCCACACCACCAATAGGAGGAAGCGACCAGGGGAGGGGGCGTTAGGGCCTACGCGAGGTGCCTCTCAGTGGGGCAATTTGTTGGTTTAGGGGACACGTGGATTTTCATGCATTGAAGCGATGGTGGTGCAGAGGGCGAGGGGCAGAATTTGGCAGGTTTTGTTGTACGCATCATGAAAGTGCAAGTGTCATCTTAAAAAGAAACGTTATGCCCTTTTATCATCGCTCTAGAGGTCGAACGTGTACATCCCGACAAGCAATTAGAAAGGGCCACACTGCTCACCTATCCATCTATCTCCCCCACCGCAGGATGGATTGGGCCAGTGGTAAACTGTATAAACCGGTCCTTCCTGAAGTGAGGCCACGCCACCACTCTGTTCCATCTCAGTAATTTTCTGGCCAAATGAAGTTGCCTTTTTACGTTGGGCTGTTTTACATGCAGAATTTCCATACTTTCCCTGCTACTCCATCTCTTCCCTTTTTCATCCATTGCCATCTTCATGCATTGCCTTCATCTCTTTCATCCTCCTCCATCCCCTCTCTTCGCATCTTTTTCGCCCCTTCCCTTTTCGCTTTCCTCTCTCCTCTATCCCCTTCCCTTCCCCATGGATCCCCTGCTCCTGCATCCGCTACCTTCTCCATAGCATGACTGGCTATGTACGGTGCGAAAGAAGTTCAACAAACCCTTCCCTGCTCCATCCCTTCCCTTCGTCGCCTCATTTAGAACGGAGCCCAAAGCGAAGGATGCGACTGCATCGAGGCCTTCCCCGAGTGCACGTAGACACGAGTGAAGCGAGCTATTGGTTTGCCATGTCCACACGGCCGCTCGCTGTCTCGTATAAACATCACCAGTGGAACTGCTCAAGAGAAACGAGCGTGTTGAAAAAATATACCCGTCTCCCTTGCCTCTTCCCTCCCACTCTCCGTCCCACCCACCCCTGCAAACTTCATTCTAATTTCGCATCATGAACTTAAATTATACAACGCACCTCCGATGAGCGCGGTTGGCTATGTACAGTGCGAAAGAAGTTATACGTACAGTACAAGGGGGTTGGTTGTGGGACACAAAAAGGGGACTCGATCAGGGGGATGGGGGGGTCATGATGGGGAGGAGAGAAAACCAAACGAGAACCCTCCTGCAATGTAGAGAGCGGCTCAGTGCAAAAATACAAAATATGCACGGACATATGCACCGGAAGCGACGAAAACCCTCCATGACAGCGCGGAACTAGCCGCAAGTTACAAACAATCCCATTGATCCTGTCTCACCCGTTAGAACATTGACATCACTTATGCGCAGCCGGCAATGATAGTATCTCACCGCAACAGCCCAATAGAGCGCATCGGGCAAAAGTGCATTGTGGGGGCCCAGGGCCTCGTTCCCATCTTCGAGCAGCCAAGGGGAGGAACTACCCCCACTGGGAATATCTCCCATGCACTCGATCTGGAGTTGGCGTTACCACACAACTCAGAGTGACTCGAACGCAAACTTCTGCTAATCTATGATGAGCAGAAAAAATGAGGCATCTCAATACCGATTTCCCAGTGGCACATTCCCGCCCCGTTTAACGACGCCTCATGGTTAGACGAGAAAAAAAATCGCCGCTGCACCCTAGCAAAATATTCTCAAGATCCACAGAACCGTGAACTGAAATTCTGCAAGGCCATTTTTCAATGAAAAGGGCACACGTTAAACTTCTTTTTCACTGCTCGTGGTCTTTGGAAGTGTGGTCCTCTGTTTATGCATGACTCACTGCGTGACATAATCAGTTAAAACACACGCACAATCATCCCTTCATCGAAGGTATGTCACGATGTTATGCACAGCGTTTAAAAAAACAAATTTCAAGAAAATTACATTCTGGTTTGATCAACAAGAACGAATATGTATGAAAAACAACAACAATCATCGCTCTGGCCGACGTCAGATGAAAATGATGCAGGTTTTTACGCGAGTGGCTTACGTGCCATGAAACCGCATGCGTTATTCTGGCGTGAGACTCGGCTCAGCTGGTTGACCAGGCCGGGCTTGACCAGGCCGGGCTAGGCCAGGCCGGACGCAGTGCGGCCCTGGGCCTTCGTAGCCGTTCCCAAGCGGTTCCACGCGCACAGTCGTAAGCGAGGCACTGGATCGGGCGACCTGAACATCTGGGCCGTGATTGAACGGGCCACAACCCGCCTGCGCCCGCTTGCGCCCGGGGCAGCTGAAACCAGCCCGGCGGCACGTGGCGCTCGCACCCCGGCAGCCGCTGCTATAACTTGGTGATGCAAATCATCTCGTCTTCCAGCTCTCGCTCGTACAGGCGTCTCCTCTCGCCGCCCGGCTGCAGATTGTCGTTGCCCTCTTCTTCTCCGCCCTCTTCTCCGCCGCCCTCTTCTTCTTCGCCGTAACCCCCTCGGTGGAAGTGGCCGGGGAAGAGCGGCTCGCGACTTGAGGAGGTGTCGTCATGGCCTTCATCGGCGCCGTTAATGAGGTCGCTGGCGGCGCTCTCCATCTCGTCCACCGTCATGTCGCATGCGTCCGCCAGCTCGCGCTTCATCACCGACACAAAGCGCCGGTCACGAGCGAACAGGCCCAGCCCCTCTGAAATCAGCACCTGCGGGCGAACGGTGGCACAGCGGCCCGCGGGGGGTCAACGGATGAGCGACTGGGAGGACGAGTATAGTAATAGTTAAAATTGCGGATATTCAAAATACAAAGTTTCAGAAAAAACTTTGGATTTATTACCATTAATTTAATGGAAAAACTAAATAAGATAATAAATAAACAATCTAGTCCTATATAAATAACAATAAAATAAAATTTCTGATTTAAAGCTTTCGTGACTGCAAGGATCCATACTCTTTGGTTCTATTCGGTAAAGTCACGTTGGTAAAAAAAAAATCACGACGTTTCGGCCACAACACAAGCGGCCTTCATCAGGTGAAGGGATCTTGCTGTCTCGAGGACAGCACTGGAGTGGAACACAGCCACGCTCAGACCGCGACCTTTAAGCTGTGTGCGAGGAAACAAGGTGCCTTGACAAAGGAATTAGCATAAAAATTAGCATTTGATTGGCCGACTTAGCATAGAGGTGGTGTACATGCGGGTGCACATGCCGGTTGGTGCGGGGGGGGGGGGAGTTTACCTATTGATGGTGTGAAAAGGGAATTTAAGAGCTGCGAAAGTTTGGGGTACCACTACTTGAAAAATATACTGTACCATTGAAAATTAGTTTCATGTTTGGTTCGATTTAGAACATCTTTCCAATGGTTGCTTAATTTGAAACCATCTTCTCGGTTGAAATTGTATCTGTTTGTAGATCTGAATTGCTTCATGAACAAATCTCTGATAAAATCCCGTGGGTTTGCAAAGAACCTTGGTATCGGAGAAAATTATATTGTGATCACCCACAGCGTTGTAACAATGATCAGCTACGGCAGAAGAATTCGTTTTTCCATGTTTCAAATCTGATTTGTGCTCGCGAATTCGGTCAGAGACATGTCGCTTTGTCTCCCCGATATAGCAATCACCGCAGGTACAACTCAATTTGTAAACCCCGGGGTACTGAGTTGTACCTGCGGTGATTGCTATATCGGGGAGACAAAGCGCCATGTCTCTGACCGAATTCGCGAGCACAAATCAGATTGGAAACACGGCAAAACGAATCCTTCTGCCATAGCTGATCATTGTTACAACGCTGTGGGTGATCACGATATAATTTTCTCCGATACCAAGGTTCTTTGCAAACCCACGGGTTTTTATCAGAGATTTGTTCACGAGGCAATTCAGATCTACAAGCACAGACACAATTTCAACCGAAAAGATGGTTTCAAATTAAGCAACCATTGGAAAGATGTTCTAAATCGAACCAAACATTAAACTAATTTTCAATGGTACAGTATATTTTTCAAGTAGTGGTACCCCAAACTTTCGCAGCTCTTAAATTCCCTTTTCACACCATCAATAGGGAAACTCCCCCCCCCCCCCCCGCGCCAACCGGCATGTGCACCCGCATGTACACCACCTCTATGCTAAGTCGGCCAATCAAATGCTAATTTTTATGCTAATTCCTTTGTCAAGGCACCTTGTTTCCTCGCACACAGATTAAAGGTCGCGGTCTGAGCGTGGCTGTGTTCCACTCCAGCACTGTCCTCGAGACAGCCTGATCCCTTCACCTGATGAAGGCCGCATGTGTTGTGCCGAAACGTCGTGATTTTTTTTTTTACCTATGTGACGTTACCGAATAGAACCAAAGAAAATTAAGTTTCTTAACTTTATTTTTTTTATTCATGGTAGTTTTATATTTTAATACTCTAACATACTCTTTGGTTCTATTGGGTAAAGTCACGTAGGTGAAAATAAAATAACAAAAAATCACGACGTTTCGGCCACAACACAAGCGGCCTTCATCAGGTGAAGGGACGAGCCTGTCTGGAGGACAGCGCTGGAGTGGAAGAAGCCACGCTTAGATCACGACCTTTAAGCTGTGTGAGAGGATAAAGAAGACCAAGCGCCTTGACAAAGGAATTAGCATATAATTTAGCATTGAAATGGCTCATTGAAATAGCTAAGTTAAAGTATACACATCCGCAGAGGTACCCCTTGACAAAGGAATTAGCATCGAATTTAGCATTGAAATAGCTCATTGAAATAGCTAAGTTAAAGTATACACATCCGCAGAGGTACCCCTTGACAAAGGAATTAGCATCGAATTTAGCATTGAAATAGCTGAGTGATTAGCTAGTAACTGGTCACAGAAATAGCTATGTTAAAGTTTGAGTATATACATTCACCGAGGCACCTAGTACTCATCAAACAGGAGAATTTAGCGAAACACAACCACGCTCAGACATCGGACCTGTGTGCGAGCAAACAAGGTGTTCTGACAAAGAAATTAGCATAAAAATTAGCATTTGATTGGCGGATTTTAGGAAAGAGGTGGTGTACGTGCCGGTGGACTTGCAGTTTGGCGCGGGGGGGGGGGGGGGGGAAGGGGGAGGGGGAGTTTACCTATTGATGGTGTGAAAATGGGAATTTATAAGAGCTGCGAAAGTTTGGGGTACCACTACTCGAAAAATATACTGTACCAATGAAATTAGTTTAATGTTTAGTTCGATTTAGAACATCTTTCCAATGGTTGCTTAATTTGAAACCATCCTCTCAGTTGAAATTGTGTCTGTGTTTGTAGATCTGAATTGCTTCATGAACAAATCTCTGATAAAAGCCCGTGGGTTTGCAAAGAACCTTGGTATCGGAGAAAATGATATCGTGATCCCCCACAGCGTTGTAACAGTGATCAGCCACGGCAGAAGAATTCGTTTTGCCGTGTTTCAAATCTGATTTGTGCTCGCGAATTCGGTCAGAGACATGTCGCTTTGTCTCACCGATGTAGCAATCACCGCAGGTACAACTCAATTTGTAAACCCCGGGGTACTGTAAATCAGGAATGACATCCTTCACGGATGGGATCAGATCACGAATTTTGTGTACTGTATTTAACCGGACCTGGATCTTGTGTTTGTTTAGAATTTTGGAAATCTTTTTAGTAACGCCTGCTATATATGGAAGTGTGATGGTTTTGACCGGAGTATCAAGTGCTTGTATCTGTATGAAGCGAGAGACAGCTTGGAGGATGGTACGGTCAGAGTAACCATTCCTTTCGAGGGCCAGGTGTACATGTTTTAATTCACTGATCAGGTGGTGTTGGTCCGAAATGCAATGAGCCCTATGGTATAAAGTTTTTATGAGAGAATTATTTTGGGCTGGGTGGTGGTGGGAATCAGGTTTCAAGTAGGAATCTGTGTGGGTGGGTTTCCTGTAGACAGAATGCCCCAATGAGCCATCAGGTCTCCTCTCAAACAGAACATCTAAGAATGGTAGCTTGCCATCTTTCTCCACTTCCATGGTGAATTTGATGGTGGGATGTCTGGAATTGATGTGGTGTAGGAAAAGGTTCAGAGCTGGGAGGCCATGTGGCCAAATGACGAAAGTGTCATCCACATATCTCTTCCACAGGGAAGGTCTGAGGGTGGAAGTCTGGATGGCGTCTGATTCAAATTTCTCCATGAAAATATTGGCTATCACTCACTGGTGATAAGGGGGATCCCATGGGGGTACCCTCATTTTGTTTGTAGAAGGAGCCATTCCAAGTAAAGTAGGTATTGTTGAGGCAGTGCCTAACCAGTGCAGGTGTGTCAGGGTCTAGTCCATGTTGGACCAAATTTTCAATTATTTCAATGGTATCAGGTACTGGGACCTTGGTGAACAAAGAGACCACATCGAAGCTGACAAGGATATCGTCAGGGGACAGTACAACGTCTTTGACCATAGAGACCAATTGGGCTGAGTTAAGTACTATATCACTTCTGTATTTTAAATTCGCGAGTTCAGAGCGTTCATTTTTGCTGATGTTACTAATGGGTTTCTTAGCAACATCATCTTAGCAACATCAGCAAAAATGAACGCTCTGAACTCGCGAATTTAAAAAACAGAAGTGATATAGTCATCCTCTCAGCCGATAAAGGCAACGCTACTGTTATTATGGATAAACATTCACACAACAACAAAATCCAGAATCTGCTCAACGATGGAAGTTACTCAAAAATAAAAAAATGACCCCACTAATAGCCTAGCGATGAAAACCAACAAGATCATCACAAGTTCGACCTCCCTAATCGACCCAACTAAACGTCCCTCCCTAAAACCTTCTGCTGCAAGACCCCCTAGATTCTATGGTCTTCCCAAGATTCATGAAGAAGGCACCCCACTTCGACCCATCGTATCCATGATCAACTCCCCTACCTATAGACTAGCCCGTTTTCTGTCAGATACCTTGCTGCCTTTCACTGGCAAGACCGCCTCAGCAGTACTTAAATCAGCCCAATTGGTCTCTATGGTCAAAGATGTTGTATTGTCCCCTGACGATATCCTTGTCAGCTTCGATGTGGTCTCTTTGTTCACCAAGGTCCCAGTACCTGATACCATTGAAATAATTGAAAATTTGGTCCAACATGGACTAGACCCCGACACACCTGCACTGGTTAGGCACTGCCTCAACAATACCTACTTTACTTGGAATGGCTCCTTCTACACGCAAAATGAGGGTACCCCCATGGGACCCCCCTTATCACAAGTGATAGCCAATATTTTCATGGAGAAATTTGAATCAGACGCCATCCAGACTTCCACCCTCAGACCTTCCCTGTGGAAGAGATATGTGGATGACACTTTCGTCATTTGGCCACATGGCCTCCCAGCTCTGAACCTTTTCCTACACCACATCAATTCCAGACATCCCGCCATCAAATTCACCATGGAAGTGGAGAAAGATGGCAAGCTACCATTCTTAGATGTTCTGTTTGATAGGAGACCTGATGGCTCATTGGGGCATTCTGTCTACAGGAAACCCACCCACACAGATTCCTACTTGAAACCTGATTCCCACCACCACCCAGCCCAAAAGAATTCTCTCATAAAAACTTTATACCATAGGGCTCATTGCATTTTGGACCAACACCACCTGACCAGTGAATTAAAACATGTACACCTGGCCCTCAAAAGGAATGGTTACTCTGACCGTACCATCCGCCAAGCTGTTTCTCCCTCCATACAGAAACAACCACTTGATACTCCGGTCAAAACCATCACACTTCCATATATAGCAGGCGTTACTAAAAAGGTTTCCAAAATTCTAAACAAACACAAGATCCAGGTCCGGTTCAATACAGTACACAAAATTCGTGATCTGATCCCATCCGTGAAGAATGTCATTCCTGATTTACAGTACCCCGGAGTTTACAAATTGAGTTGTACCTGCGGTGATTGCTACATCGGTGAGACAAAGCGACATGTCTCTGACCGAATTCGCGAGCACAAATCAGATTTGAAACACGGCAAAACGAATTCTTCTGCCGTGGCTGATCACTGTTACAACGCTGTGGGGGATCACGATATCATTTTCTCCGATACCAAGGTTCTTTGCAAACCCACGGGCTTTTATCAGAGATTTGTTCATGAAGCAATTCAGATCTACAAACACAGACACAATTTCAACTGAGAGGATGGTTTCAAATTAAGCAACCATTGGAAAGATGTTCTAAATCGAACTAAACATTAAACTAATTTCATTGGTACAGTATATTTTTCGAGTAGTGGTACCCCAAACTTTCGCAGCTCTTATAAATTCCCATTTTCATACCATCAATAGGTAAACTCCCCCTCCCCCTTCCCCCCCCCCCCCCCCCCGCGCCAAACTGCAAGTCCACCGGCACGCACACCACCTCTTTCCTAAAATCCGCCAATCAAATGCTAATTTTTATGCTAATTTCTTTGTCAGAACACCTTGTTTGCTCGCACACAGGTCCGATGTCTGAGCGTGGTTGTGTTTCGCTAAATTCTCCTGTTTGATGAGTACTAGGTGCCTCGGTGAATGTATATACTCTAACTTTAACATAGCTATTTCTGTGACCAGTTACTAGCTAATCACTCAGCTATTTCAATGCTAAATTCGATGCTAATTCCTTTGTCAAGGAGTACCTCTGCGGATCTGTATACTTTAACTTAGCTATTTCAATGAGCCATTTCAATGCTAAATTATATGCTAATTCCTTTGTCAAGGCGCTTGGTCTTCTTTATCCTCTCACACAGCTTAAAGGTCGTGATCTAAGCGTGGCTTCTTCCACTCCAGCGCTGTCCTCCAGACAGGCTCGTCCCTTCACCTGATGAAGGCTGCTTGTGTTGTGGCCGAAACGTCGTGATTTTTTGTTATTTTATTTTCACCTACGTGACTTTACCCAATAGAACCAAAGAGTATGGATCCTAGCAGTCACGAAAGCTTTAAATCTAGAATTGATAACCTCTATGGGGAGGGCTTTCACCTATCTGTTAGAGCTTTTAACAGATAACGGGACAAGAAGTCACAACTCATCGAGATGCTGACCTTCCTCAAAAGATGCCGCGATCACAAGGTAATACCCATCTCTTTCACACTCACTTCTGCTGCTGTATCTTCTCCGAATTCTAAACAGATTCTGCTTAAGGCCAGCCTATCTTTAATCTCAGAGAGGATATGGCTACTCCGATTTGAACTCGATACTTTAGACAGGACTCTCCTACAAGCTCATTTAATGTTAACAGAAAAAATGTCACCTTCTGATTGGAATCACGTAGACAACATGACTCCTTCTGCTGAGTCACTGTCAGTCAAATGTAAAGCTAACCTGATTTCTAAATTCAACCACCTATCAAAGAAGAACCCAGTTCCACATATAACAAAACTAGATGTTAACAAAATCGTCATTAATCAGAGTAGCACCCCGATTTCGGACAATCTGAAAACAGTACTGGCTAGGCGACTAAATTTTGCTGTCACCCCAAAACACATACCAATAGATGATATCATCTCTCAGGTCGATGTAGCCCTCAAAGGCGTAGGACACATCCAAGCAGACGTTGCGAGAGCTGAAATAGCCACTATTCTTAAGAATGCTAAGAAACCCATTAGTAACATCAGCAGAAATATACGCTCTGAACTCGCAAATTTAAAAAAACAGAAGTGATATAGTCATCCTCTCAGCCGATAAAGGCAACGCTACTGTTATTATGGATAAAGATTCATACAACAACAAAATCCATAATCTGTTCAACGATGGAAGTTACTCAAAAATAAAAAAGACCCTACTAATAGCCTAGCGATGAAAACCAACAAGATCATCACAAGTTCGACCACCCTAATCGACCCAACTAAACGTCCCTCCCTAAAACCTTCTGCTGCAAGACCCCCTAGATTCTATGGTCTTCCCAAGATTCATAAAGAAGGCACCCCACTTCGACCCATCATATCCACGATCAACTCCCCTACCTATAGACTAGCCCGTTTTCTGTCAGATACCTTGCTGCCTTTCACTGGCAAGACCGCCTCAGCAGTACTTAACTCAGCCCAATTGGTCTCTATGGTCAAAGACGTTGTACTGTCCCCTGACGATATCCTTGTCAGCTTCGATGTGGTCTCTTTGTTCACCAAGGTCCCAGTACCTGATACCATTGAAATAATTGAAAATTTGGTCCAACATGGACTAGACCCCGACACACCTGCACTGGTTAGGCACTGCCTCAACAATACCTACTTTACTTGGAATGACTCCTTCTACAAACAAAATGAGGGTACCCCCATGGGATCCCCCTTCTCACCAGTGACAGCCAATATTTTCATGGAGAAATTTGAATCAGACGCCATCCAGATTTCCACCCTCAGACTTTCCCTGTGGAAGAGATATGTGGATGACACTTTCGTCATTTGGCCACATGACCTCCCAGCTCTGAACCTTTTCCTACACCACATCAATTCCAGACATCCCGCCATCAAATTCACCATGGAAGTGGAGAAAGATGGCAAGCTACCATTCTTAGATGTTCTGTTTGAGAGGAGACCTGATGGCTCATTGGGGCATTCTGTCTACAGGAAACCCACCCACACAGATTCCTACTTGAAACCTGATTCCCACCACCACCCAGCCCAAAAGAATTTTCTCATAAAAACTTTATACCATAGGGCTCATTGCATTTCGGACCAACACCACCTGACCAGTGAATTAAAACATGTACACCTGGCCCTCAAAAGGAATGGTTACTCTGACCGTACCATCCGCCAAGCTGTCTCTCGCTCCATACAGATACAACCACTTGATACTCCGGTCAAAACCATCACACTTCCATATATAGCAGGCGTTACTAAAAAGATTTCCAAAATTCTAAACAAACACAAGATCCAGGTCCGGTTCAACACAGTACAAAAAATTCGTGATCTGATCCCATCCGTGAAGGATGTCATTCCTGATTTACAGTACCCCGGGGTTTACAAATTGAGTTGTACCTGCGGTGATTGCTACATCGGTGAGACAAAGCGACATGTCTCTGACCGAATTCGCGAGCACAAATCAGATTTGAAACACGGCAAAACGAATTCTTCTGCCGTGGCTGATCACTGTTACAACGCTGTGGGGGATCACGATATCATTTTCTCCGATACCAATGTTCTTTGCAAACCCACGGACTTTTATCAGAGATTTGTTCATGAAGCAATTCAGATCTACAAACACAGACACAATTTCAACCGAGAGGATGGTTTCAAATTAAGCAACCATTGGAAAGATGTTCTAAATCGAACTAAACATTAAACTAATTTCTTTGGTACAGTATATTTTTCGAGTAGTGGTACCCCAAACTTTCGCAGCTCTTATAAATTCCCATTTTCACACCATCAATAGGTAAACTCCCCCTCCCCCTTCCCCCCCCCCCGCGCCAAACTGCAAGTCCACCGGCACGTACACCACCTCTTTCCTAAAATCCGCCAATCAAATGCTAATTTTTATGCTAATTTCTTTGTCAGAACACCTTGTTTGCTCGCACACAGGTCCGATGTCTGAGCGTGGTTGTGTTTTGCTAAATTCTCCTGTTTGATGAGTACTAGGTGCCTCGGTGAATGTATATACTCTAACTTTAACATAGCTATTTCTGTGACCAGTTACTAGCTAATCACTCAGCTATTTCAATGCTAAATTCGATGCTAATTCCTTTGTCAAGGGGTACCTCTGCGGATGTGTATACTTTAACTTAGCTATTTCAATGAGCCATTTCAATGCTAAATTATTTGCTAATTCCTTTGTCAAGGCGCTTGGTCTTCTATATCCAACAACACAGCTTAAAGGTCGTGATCTAAGCGTGGCTTCTTCCACTCCAGCGCTGTCCTCCAGACAGTCTCGTCCCTTCACCTGATGAAGGCCGCTTGTGTTGTGGCCGAAACGTCGTGATTTTTTGTTATTTTATTTTCACCTACGTGACTTTACCCAATAGAACCAAGAGTATGGATCCTAGCAGTCACGAAAGCTTTAAATCTAGAATACTCTAACATGTTTGGCCAGTGTCTACGTACGGTATGAAAGAAGGTCAACATACATACATACTTTTTAGCTATGAGAGGAAACCGGAGTACCCGGAGGAAACCCATGCAGAACATGGGGAGAACATACAAGATCGACACAGTGATCAAGTCTTATATTGAGGAAATCTATTGGGCTCTCCCTTCTCCCCCACCGCTTTTTCCCCCTTTATCCCCTCTCTCTCCCACCCCATCTCTCCCCCTTTATCCCCTCTCTCTCCCTCTCTCACCCTCTCTCTCTCCACCCCTCTCTCCCCTCTCTCTCCGCCCTCTCTCCGTTCTCCCCCCTCTCCCTTTTCACGCACTGCCTGCACGAGGCTGTCGGCGCTGCCGCGGTGGTGTCGACGTGGGGAGGGCAGCGGCATGAGGGAGAGCGACGCGGCACTGGGGGTCTCCGACCCCCACGAGTGGCGGGCCCCATGACCCCGGGCCCCCAATGCCCGGGTTATACTCCCCTCTCTGTCAGCCGGGGAGGAGGAACACTCCACCTGAATGGGACAACCATACACACACAAATACAACACACACGTGAACAGACACACACAACACGCACGTGAACAGACACACAACACGCACATGAACAGACACAACACGCCCGTGAACAGAACACACACGTAAACAGACACAAAAACGCACATGAACAGACAGCACGCACATGAACAGACAGCACGCACGTGAATAGACATAACGCACACGTGAACAGACACAACACGCACATGAACAGACACACGTAAGCAGACAAGATACACGTGAATATGAACACAACACGTAGGAGAATGAATACGCGCACACGCATGAGAACACGTACAACACGCACGTGACCATATGCACACAACAATAACAAATCACGTAACTTTCGCAAAATAGATTTTTTGGTTAGGGGCCATCCATAAATGACGTCACGCGATTTTGTACGATTTCCCCCCCCTCGTCACATGGCGTCACAAAAAGTCAGACCCCCCCTCAAAAATGACGTCACAAAGCTCTGCCCCCCCCCCCAAAACCATATTTCCATTTTGAAAATAAAACGTGCTTCAAATGTGGCGCTACACTCGGATGTTGTAGGAGAAAACATTTATTAAAAAGTATATTTAATTAAGTAGAACGTGTTGGCGTCACATTTCTCAACCCCCCTCCCTCGTCACACATCGTCACAAATGTCTGACCCCCGCCTCCCTTCAGGTGCGTGACGTCATTTATGGACGGCCCTTTAGGGCATGTAATGATCTGGCCATATTTGTGTTATAAAACCCTCCACCACCCAACACAGCCTATCAAACTTCATTGTCACGTGCGCGAGCGATGAGGATCGCACTGATTAAACGGAGTGCTGCCGTACAGAACAGGAGGGCATCCTCTTCGATCTCCGGGATTGGCGGAGCCCCGGGCGCGTGGCACGGCCACTCACCTGTATGGCGGGTGTGTAGAGATGGGGGCAGCCGCGCCGTCCGCGCGTGGGCGACGAGGGCGGCGTGCTCCACGCGTGTGTTGAGCACGAGAGCGCGCTTGCGTCGCCACGGCCCCCAGCCGCCTCGCTCCCGTCTCCCGTTGCCGCCTCGGGTCGGGGGGTGGGGGAGCGTCGGGCAGGGGGCACGGAGGGGGGCGAGCGGGGGCACGGATAGAGGACATTGGGGGGGCGTGATGGGGGGGGGCACGCAGGGGACACCTCCCATTAGCGCGGTTGGTTACGGATGGTGCGAAACAAGTTCAACATACATACGTTTCGATCGTACAATCCTGTTTGCTCCAAAATCACACAACGCAAATACAGGCAGTCCTCGGCTTACGAACGGGCTCCATTCCTGAGATACTTTTGTGAATGGATTTGTTAATAACTCATAAATAAGAAATTGTATGTTCTTGTTGTGGTTTTCACACCTGATGATGATTGCTTGTGTTGCAGTCGAAACGTCGTGAGAATTTTATTGTTTTATATATTTTTATTATTTTATTGTTTCCCTTCTATGTGACTTTACCGAAAGAACCAAGAATATGAATCCCTGCAGTCACGAAAGCTTTAAGTAAAAAAAAAGAAATTGTATATTTGTATATAATACTGTAATAAATACTGTATAGTGAATAAAACGTTAAATTACATAACTTAAAATAAATTTAACGGTTCACTGTTGTGCATCATGCGGGATGCTGGGACTCATTATATCTTGCGGAGGATTGCTGCGCCGAACAAAATAGTTCCACGGTTCATTTTGTAAGTACAACCAAATGTTCCCAAGTTAGATGGTTAAACATAACATCTTATGGTGGTTCCTTCGTAAGTGTGGATGTACGTAAGTCGGACGTTGTATCGGGGACTGCCTGACTCAAGAAGATATGGCCAACCATTCGAGGCTGGTCATTCTTGCAAATGATCCTTATGGCGGTACCCCGGGGTACCAAATAATACAAAATGTCCGAAGCAATTAAATAGTTTATTTCTGGGACATTATTTTTTCCAGGGGTGTACTTAACTCCGCGACTGGGGTACCAATCTGAAATCAGTGCTACTCCGCGATGTCGAAACACCAAACAGCATAAAAAATCCGTTATCGAAAAATTATACTTTGAATAGTGCATAGTGTACAGCTATGCACTATTCGATTGTCGCATCGCCGACCATTAACAGACTAAAAATAACTGCATCACGGGCATTATGCGAGAGCCGGGGAACTATGGTACCCCGGGGAATCGCCATAAGGATTCAAATGGTCACTGCTCCCTGTGTTCTCACCTAGTTAAGTAAAATAAACTTCAAACTTGGATATACATGTGTAATGATAGGGTGCCTCCTGTCGGCCTGGAGGGATAATCGCGGGTATGGGCAAGTTATATAATGACTAACTAGAAGGGGGGCGTATCTGGGGTAAAGGTGAAAGGTGGAGTCAGTCGGGAGGCTCCGGGAACCTGCTTGAAGGCTCTGGAAGGGGGCGTGGCCAGAGGCGGGGCTTGCACACGCCGGCAGGTATATAAGGGGGACAGAAGCAGAGGTTCGGGGCTGTTGCGGGTCCTGGGTCCTTGCTGCGTCGCTGCTCGCCATCATCTATCTTTGTCGTCCAGCCGCATGGCCGATCCTCTGCACGGCTCTCATCGTCGTCGTCGCTATGCTAGTCAGACAGCTGTGTAGTTGTACGCCGATAACGAGGTTGTTATAGAAGGGTCAGCTATGTGTAGCCATGTAGATACGTTCTGTATAACGCCCACTGTTGTGCCCAATGTGAGAATAAATAAGAAGCTGTCTACACTACGTGTCTCGGAAGTCGCTCACTACACATGTATGTACACATGTATGTACATCTGTAGTGGAGTAACGCGCGTGGGGTTTTGCAAACAGTGTGCACGCATGTGTGAGTGGCGGACAGTGAAGTCACGTCAGGGCACACAGGTGCGGAGAGAGACAGCAACCAGAGAAAGGCGACCAATTAAGGTGCATAGCAGTGATTGGCTTGGCTGCAAATGCAGACACGGTGTAGGCGCCTGGGAGTCTGCAGATAGAGGCATAAGCATGGCGGAGATGGCGCGAGAGCGCCAGCTTAATGAGGGCCACATGAGATATCTTAATGAGTAAGGGCATATAAGCTGATGCACGGAGAAATGGAGTTGAGTTGGTTGGAGTTGGTTGGGGTTGGTTGGAGTGAAGTCCGAGGCCCCGCTCTCCACACCTCGTCCTCTCCTCCAGCGGGGATGGCTGACCCTCCGCTGGAGGCAAGGGCGATGATGGAGGAGTAAGGGTAGACAGGTTAGTAGCAGAGAAGCTAGCAGAATATATAGCGAAAGACTAGCAATAGAGAGGCTAGCAGAGTATATAGTGAGAGGATAGCAGTGGGGAAGCTAGCAGAATATATAGTGAGAGGCTAGCAGTGGAGAGGCTAGGAGAGTGAGAGAGAGAGCAGGCTAGCAGTGGAGAGGCTAGGAGAGTGAGAGAGAGAACAGGCTAGCAGTGGAGAGGCTGAGAAAGAGCGGAGTGAGCGAAGCGGAGCAGGCGAGCAGCGCAAGCGGGAGAGTTGCGACGGAGTTACGTGGTGTTGAACGCGAAGAGTTATGTTCGAATAAAAGTGATACAGGAGAAAAAGAAGAAGTCCACGTGAAATAACGCCACTACACATGCAAGCAGGGTGGCAACGCAGTGGTAACATTTGCGCCTCACAGCAAGAAGGACCTGGGTTCAATTCCTGACACAAGTGTATATCTGTGTGGTGTTTGAAGATTCTCCTTGTGTTTCCTAATGGGTTTCCTCGTTTCCAGAGAGTATGTGTATGTGAGCGAGAGTGTGTGGTGTATGACAACAACGGAGGGCGGAGGAGCGACGCTCACAACAACGAGCGGAGCGCCGGGTGGCTAAAGCACAGCAGGTTGGCACAGTAGGGGGCACAGGTGGTGCATCAGCCAGTCATCTCAGTCAGTCGACCCGTGGCACCTGGGTCTGCCCCGTGACCTCCTGCCAGCGGGCGTTCGACACTTCACGTGGCCTCAGGGTGCACATAGCCTGGCACAAGCGTCGTGGTGACGTCACCGCCACTTAGTGGCGAATGGCGGTTGTTGTTGTGGTGTATGAGTGTGAGAGTGCGTGAGTGTGTGTGTAAATATGCGTGTGTGTTCATGTGTTGGGGAGCTGTGGTACAGTAGTTAGCGATTTCCATTCACAGCCACCATCAGTGACAAATATATGAACCAGTCCTGACCCTCCTCTCGGTCGATTCAACTTTAAATGAGTACCTTGTGCTGTGTGCAATCAGCACTGGGGAGTCAAAGGTGGCTGGGTGTGGTTGCTGGTCACCCACCCCCTCGTGTGCTGTGCCATTCTTAATAGGTGCTCTCTAACAGCACTTGCACCAAAGGCTGTTAAATGCTATCGGGGTTTATTTGTCTTTGTGTAAATGTGCCAGTGTGTGTGAACGACTGTGTGGCGTTTGTATATTCTCATGGATTCCCCTCAAGTTTTCTAGTTTCCTCCTATAGCTAAAAGCATACTGGGGCCAATCCCAATATAGCATGACCCTCCTGAAAAAAGTATTTGGACTCAGTGTGGCTTTTCTGGGTAAATAGGTAATTACAATTGAATTAAATCTTTAAAAACAATAGCTTTGCAAGGTTAAAAATGTTAACAGTTTCTGTATACAGGCCCAAGGGCCCCAAATGTCAAATAGCCAGCAACACAAAACTATCAGATAAGACACATAGAACAATAAAATAATAAAAATGAAATACAGGGTGTTTGAAAAAGATTTACCCAATTTCAAAGCAGTATATTTCACGATGGCAACATGTTACAATTACACAAAAAGTTACAAACGGTTTAATGAGTTATCAAGTTTTACTAACCATTTTATAAATGCTCTATGTGCCCTCCACCTGCTGTACGGACAACATCGAGACGATAATTGAATTCGTCCCAAACGCCTCTCTTCTCACATTTCCCTCTGAGGTGCATGGTCGCCCTGTGCTCTTCCCCTTACATAAACAGCAGCCCGTTTCCTCAAATTATCGATACCAACTACGAATGCTCTTTGACATTGGCGGATCAACGTCCCTTGTGTTGCGGGGTCACCGTCTTGCGAATGACGTGAGGCTAGGGGCTGTTTGTGCGCAGGGAGAGGCATCTAGCGGGTAATCATTTGAAACTCTATGCCCCGCCCCCTCTCTATGCCCCGCCCTCTCTATGCCCTGCCCTTTCAAGTAGTAAGAGTTTCATTCATGGGCGGTTCGTGGTTGCAGAGATATCGTGATATTTTTTCTTATTTTTTATTATTTTATTATTTTATTGTTCTATCTACGTGACTTTACCGAAAGACCCAAAGAATATGAATTCCCGAAGTCACGAAAACTTTAAGTCAAGATTTATCAGATAAGAGTGAACACGTTTATTGAATTGAGGAAGGCTATTATTGTAAATGCTTAGGGGTGAAAGAGACGATGGGAAATAATTTCAAAGTGAAGTGGGAGGGAAAGAAGCATAAAGAGAAGCGTTGTGACCTGCAGTGTGGTGAGTAGTTGGGTACATGAGTGAGCGTGCAGTTGTGCCCTGCAGTGTGGTGAGGGAGTGGGTGAGTGAGTGGGTGAGTATTTGGATGAGTAAGTGGGTAAGTGGGTTAGTGAGTGATTGGGTGAGTGGCTGCGTGAGCGAGTGAACATGCTGTTGTGCCCTGCAGTGTGGTGAGTGGTTGGGTGAGTGAGTGGGTGAGTGGGTGGGTGAATGTGGGCGAGTAAGTGGGTTAGTGAGTGGTTTGGTGAGTGAGTGTGCTGTTGTGCCCTTCAGTGTGGTGGGTGAGTGGGCGAGTGAGTGGTTGAAGTGTGAGAGTGAGTGGTTGGATAAGTGAGTAAGTGGTTGGGTGGGTGAGTGAGCGTGCTGTTGTGCCCTGCAGTGTTGTATTTGAGCACAGTAGAGAGAGAGAGAGGAAACAGTCGGGTAGACCGAGCTCTCACCATGGGTGTGTGTGTACATATTCATAGTGTAAACACGTTTATTATAGATGTGGGAGGTAGTGTAGTAGTTAACTCGCTGCGCTACAAACCCGGCTGCTCGAGTTCAATTCCCGCCCAAAGCCAACATCAGTGACGAATATCCTAATCGGTCCTGGGCCTCCCATAGTTTGACTCAGCCTCAAATGAGTACCTGGTGTGGTGTGTAAACATCGCCACTTGGGGACAAAGGCGGCTGGGCGTGGTGCTGGCCACTCATCCCCTCGTGTACCGTGTTGGCCTTCATGGGGGCTCCTTACAGCACTTGCCCCAACACTCTGTTAAGGCTATATTGGGGATCATTGTATTTGTCTTTGTTTGCAAATTCCAGTTGTGTGTGTACTGCATTAATGAGTAACCAGTGAACTATATTAACTTAACCTCAGTTGGCTTTTACACTACATATGTGACACACTGTCCTTCAAAATTAAGCATTTTCTTAAGGTGCTTGACCAGAGGGCATGGTTTTCAAAGTCTGTTTAATTGCCATTGTTAAATTGCATTTTTTATTTATTCGTTGAGATTGTTGTTCGTTCAACTTAGGTGAAGAGATTGAGTTGAAAGAGGCGAAACAGCCTCGCACGTTATCTAGCCAAGCTGTGGTATCGCTCCTCATTGTGGCCTCACCAAATGTCGCCCTAACAAATTTACCATGGGGTTTTGATGCTGTTTAAACACCGAAAGAGTCGAGTTGTCCATGTTAATTTGTCTGAACCAGGAAATAACTCAAGAGAGCAGGAGAAGTCTCATTTTCAAGAGTGACCTGGATCACCAACAATAAAGCAAATAGAAAACAGCGCAAAAACAACCAAACTGAAATAAGAAAATACAGAATCAATAGTTTAGCATCAAATTGTGAATTAGAAGGAAGTGTAATTGCGGACATATTTGAAGCATTGGAATTCCAGGTGTTAGGGCATTTCAAATAAAATGAAAACCAAACCGTGGAAAACAAGTGCAACCATGTGCTAACTTAAACTCAGCACTGCGGGTTAAAATTGCCAAGTGGGATCACAACCTGATTTTATGAGTAGGCACGAAAGTGGAGTGCTAAAGCATTCTAGACTCATGAATACACGCTACCCATTTGAACGGATGAGTCAGCTGGGAAGAGTGTATTGGAGTCTGTCCATGACAAGTGAGAAAATCACAAGCTGCTCAAAACCCAATTTTTCCTCATATCCTCTGCTGATCTATGCCAGTACCTCGTGTGTTCGCTAATGGCAGATTGTGGAATTTTCACTGCAGAGCCACCAATAAACACGAGCACCACCCGATCTATCTTCCTGAATGCTGAGACACTCAGAGTCAGATTCTTGTCGTTATCGGACAAAATAAATGCATCGTGGTGGCAAATTGCACCAAGGTTTCGTGATGGAGACAGCACAATATTGGCAAACATGAGACAGAGCACATCTATGAATGCATATGTATATAACATCGCGGATGTCACTGTGTGGTGCCGGCCCTAGAAGGGCATGGCGTGCGATGTATTCGCATCGCGAGCATCACGTATGTAGCGACATCGTGACTGTCACTGAGTAATGCCGGCTCTAACGAGGCATGGCGTGCGATGCATTGTCATCGCGGACACCCCGTAGGTGGGTGTAGTACCAGCCCTAGAAGGGGCTCGGTGAGCGCTGGGATAGCGCTCAGTGGCACCACGCGTGGCGTGCAGTCATGACTCCTACAGGAGGGAGTGTGAGAGTGTCAGCCATGGGATGAGGTTACCCTGGGCCATGGCACTCTGGTTGACCCTGGAAGGCACGTGACAAGCAAGATCTACACAGGGGCCCCAGGTGGGGGCTTGGGAGTGGTCACGTGTCAGGGTACGGCAAGGGTCAAGAAACGACAAGAGGTTTCTCGAAGGTGGTCGTGGCCAAGGGCGGGGCCAGCCACGACCCAGCAGCAGGTAAACGGGGTCTTCACAGGGACAGGGGTTCAGCGTTGCTGCCGTCATCTGATGATCTATGTTCTACGTCCAAGAGGAAGTCACCAACTCGTGGACGAGGACCCAAGCCAGGGTCCTGTCCGTTGTAGCTACTCCCAGTAACTAGCGTAGTTAGCCTGGTGGTCCACCACCATAGGTTATCTGGTAAAAGGGCAGTAACCCCTTTGTGTTCATGTGTTGGTGTTCATAAATATGTGTTGCCTCCAAGAAGTATGTCTGCGACTCAGTTGAATCCACTACACACATATAAAAAAACCCAACGCAGTGCAACATGAATTGACCCAAACACCCAAAAGCTGAAATATTACCTGCAAATTACTAAATTTGGATCACATACGTTCATGTGCAGAGATAAATGTAATTTATTTGTCGAGTTAAGGTAATTGATTCGATTACTGTTGCTGTTTCACAATGCTGTTTTTGTCAGGGTTAATAATTTTTGGTGTCAGGGTTCAGATTTCTTAACAATCTATGGGTGTGGCATGTTCTGTGCATTGACCCTTTCAGTTACCCAACCCTCAGAGCCCTAGGATATAAATACAGTCCACAGACAATTCGCCTCACTCCTGTAGCTGGCCTTAAAAAATATATATAATACATATCTCCTTCTGGGAGTGCACAATTTCAGCAGCATTTGTTCAATATGACCAATTATGGACTGTTTTTGACATTCAGTGTCTTATCAGCAGACAGGCTTGCTCGAATCAATGTAAGTGAAGTGCCAGTTTTGACAAGCAACGACCCTTTCTCTTAGACATGGGTGCTAGTTGAACACAAATCTACAAAATATACAACACAAGATAATAATTAGCATCGCTAATTATTATTTTGTGCTCTAAACACTGATCAGCTAGAGTTGCATGTCTTGTGACACTTTAAATAAAAGTAAAACTGATAGACAATGACAGCAAAGATGAGAATGTGAGGCAGATGAAATGACATCTTAATGCTACGAGAGATGTGGACTGATGGGCATTTTTTTTGTAAGCACTGTCCATAATTATATGACATTTGGTGAGTCTCTATACATGTGGGCCCCTCCCTCTAGCAGGACAATAACAGCTTAATTGCATCTGGTTTCTTTTTAGCTGTATGGTGTGAGTCCATGTGCATGTATTATGCTTGTACAGTTGGACAGTGGACCGTGCATTGCACTATGAACCCAGCAACCCAAGTTTGAAATGTGCTCACAGGTTAAAATCTTTGGAGGATTTGTGAACCAATACCCAGTATTGGGAGTGGATGGCCAGCACCACACTCGGTCTTCTTTGTCTCTCCAATGTTGACGGTTATACACTGCACCTGGTACCCATTTAAGACTGAGTAAACCTTGGGGAATTCCAGGACCTTTTCAGATATTCATGACTGATGTTGGCTGTGAGTGGAAATGAACTTGAGTTTGTAGCACAATGCACTAAGCACTACAGAATCAGAATCTTTATTTATACTGGTGGAATCTGATGAGCTATGCAGCTCTTTTTCACAGATTTTCACACAACACTCAGACAGCACATATTCACTCGCTCACCTGCAGCTGTGACACCAGCAGGGGGAGGCAGGTGCTACGTTGGCTGGGCGGCAGGGTCACCTCTCCTGTGATGCTTTGGGTACCCTGCCTTTTCCAGCACTCCATGTTGAAGGACTTACGCCGCCCTGTAGGAACACAGCAGTCCATTAACAGAGGGCCCTCCACCCAGTGCAATCATGCAGGGAGTGTGGTATACGGACACAGCACTGTCCGCTCCAAGCATCGTGATGTTCATGCTTGCTGCCTGGGCCATCTTGTTCCTTTTGCTGAGTACAGGCTCAAAAGCCCAAAATTTCAAGCGGCCAGTAATGAACAGCACTGTCAAAGTTGCTATAGGTAAAAGTTAACATGCTTATTCAAATCGATAAAAACTCAACACATTTATCACTAACACTGTGGCCTTAAAAGGAAAGGTATAACACAAGTTTTTAATAGTCGATGTTTTGGGCAATGGCACTTTTCTTCATAGCAACATTAACATAGAGCCCAGAGCGATGGAGCGGGTAATAAGAGTTGGAGACTGCCCTTGTTTACTCCATGGGGCCTGATTATACATTTTTAAACTTGTTTTATGGTGACCAGTTTTTAAATACCGGCATATAATTAGTTACCTAACAATAGCTATTGAGTAACAGGCAAATCCGTAAATAGTATATATTTTTTACGAAACATCAAATTTACATTTAAAGTAAAATAAAATATTGCTGGTACATTCCACTCTGGGAAGATTTGAACTTGTGAGCACGAGGCGCGGTCCACCTGGAAATGCATCCTGGGCACATTCACCAGTTCTATCAAAGGTACTTAACTGTCCTGCATTCCTGAGGCAGACAAGTCGGAGAAATTAAATGTGAGGGACAAATATGAAATTAAAATAATTGAAATGAAGTCCAAGGGATAAAGTTTGCCTTGCACTCAATACTCTTTGGTTCTTTCGGTAAAGTCACGTAGATAGAAAATTAATAGATCACGACGATTCGATCGCAACACAAGCAACCGTCATCAGATGAGACAAACACAGCAGGAGAACTGCTGACTTCACAGAAAGAGCTGCTGCAACAAGAGTTTCATATATTTATATACGTTTATATCCCTCGATTTGCAAAAGAGATGCGTTCTTCAAAAAGTACGCGCAAAACAATATTTCTAAAATCGGAATAGCTTTTTCCATTTTTATAATACTTAATATTAGTGATGTGTTTGGGACAGTCATTCCAACTCTACTCCTAACCTAAAAATACACCACTTATAATACAAATATAATAACATAAATATGAAAACGATTAAATTGTTAATTTAAAACAAAAAGAACTAACCTTTTCAGGGAACTCGCCAAAAGATCTGCTGCATGTTGGAATGACAGTAAAGGTGATGTGGAGGCGTTACTGTGGCACTGCAGGGACACCGTGACGCTGTGAGGGGTGGATGACGACGCATCCTCCTGGGGGCTTCTTGTTTCATGATCTCATGGCACGGGCCGAGTGAAAGTTTCATTAACGCGGAAATTAGATTTCGTTGATCGAAAAGTGAGCATAATTTGTTCATTGCGGGAACATGAAATTTCATAAACCATATGTTCGTAAATTGATGGATACCTGTATAGTGACGACGGGAGGAAATTGCAATTGCCCAAAACAACAAGAATGGAGCAGTGTGAGATAAGAATCAGAAATAGAATGTTTGTGGCATGCGGTGTGGCTGTTAAACGCAGTGCAATGGACGAGATGACACAGTGACAGTCTGATAGACCGAGTCCTCAACGTGGGTGGAGGAGTCAACCAGTGAAGTTCACGGGAACAGTGACCTTGGTAGTAGCAACAGAAGGGTGATACGGCGGAGGAGAATGACTGCCGGTGAGTGAGAGAGTAACTGGCGTGAATCAGCGCAAGCTGGATCATCAATACTGTTCTTGCTTATTTTTGACAATGCATAAATGTATCCTGCATAAGTTCGTAGATTTTAAACTGTGCCTGTGGCATTGTTTGTCTGCTATGCATCAAAGGATTTTGCAAATAAATAAAATACATGGGAGATTGTATGCCCCATCTATAGCTGCCAGTTTGTCTTTCTTACTCAATATCATATAAAACGGTTTAACTCAAATGTTGTGCTTCAAACATCTCAAAGACAAACTACCTCCATCAATATAATTAACGACACTTACTATGAGCTGCCCGTCAAACTATGATGGCTTCCTCAGAAGCTTGGAGGTTTTTGTTTATGTTATCCTCTGTTTAATTATTGTTTAATAAAATGTATGGTTATGATGCAGCGGCATTCATATCCAACAAATGAGCCACTCACACTAGCCTCAACCCTAAACAATGAACCACGAGTACTAGCCTCAACTTTGCATGTATGTATGTTGGACTGCTTTCGCACCGTGCGTAGTTAACCATTTTAATCAGAGATGCGGGTGAAGGACAACAAACTATACACAAAAAGCAGTTCTAAAGAAATGAGTTTTAAACCTAGATTTAAAAGTGCATTTCTCCAGTGGCTTCGTAATATCAGAAGGAAGAGCATTCCAGATGGCCGCAGAAGCGCATCTAAAAGTGCGCGATGCAGTGACCATCTTTGTTCGATGGCCAGCCAAAAGCCTGCTGCAAGGATGACTGGAGTTCGTGTGATGGTTTATGCTCCTTCACCCAATGAGCCACCCGAACTAACGAGTCACTCGTATTAGCCTCAATTCTAACCAACGAGCCACTCGTACAAGCCCTCCCACTGATCATATGGGGAACCAACTAACCACCCAGCCTATTCATGTCATCGTTGTGCTCCTTTTTATTGCTTTTGTAATTTTGGTGACCTACGTTACTCTTACAAATGGAACGGTCCGCTTCTCTTGGTTCTCATCTGGTCACACAACCATCTCTAACCCTACCCTACCACTGGCGTTTCACGAAGCCCATTCATCACCAGAGCATGTATTTGTTTGCATGCTCACCACAATGACGTGTGGTTACTGCAGACAGGATTCCTTGCAAAAGGTTTATGTTTGTTGCTTTAACATCTTAACACCTGTTGCTTTATTGCAAGAAAGGGTAAAACCTATTATTATAATTTGATACTAGCAAGGTCCCATATTGGTGTCCGTGTTGGCGGGGGTGAGTGACGGCGCCGCACCTGGGGGAGTCGGGGGCAGCAGGGGCTGCTGGGAGAAGAGGCTGGGCCGATCGGCGTGCGCGTCGCCGTGGTAACTGTGTCGCTCAAACCCCAGCGGGAAACGCCGGATGCGGCGACCCCAGCCTCGGCCCTCGCGCCGACTTGGGTGCCTGGGTTGGGAGGAGCCGAGAGAAGACAAAGGATGGCAGGGTGGCGCTGTGGTAAGTTCATGCCTCACAGGAAGAAGCACCTGGGTTCGAGTCCCAACTCGGATGCCTTTCTGTGTCAATCTTTCTTTGGAAAGTTTGTATGTTCTCCCCTTGTTCTACCATGGGGTTTTATCCGGTTTCTCCTGTTGCTCCCACAGCTAAAACATAAACAAAGTAACCGGTCTGTATTGGCCAAACATCGCAATGCTGAAAAATTACCTGAAATTACTCAATTGCCCAAACACAATGCCACATTACCCCCTACTCCAGAATCTTAATAATGATAGGTAATAAAACATATATAACATAACGACCGTTGTTCACCACTAAGTCACAGTGACATCACCACTGCGCTTGTGTCAGGCTAGGGGCAATTTAAGGCCATGTGAAATGTCGAAGGCCCCGTTGGTAGGAAATCACAGAACAGACCCAGCAGGTGCCACGGGTTTGTCTCAGATGACTGACAGATGCACCAACTATGCTCCACACTGTGCCAACTCTCTGCGCTTTACATGTGGAGTGACACCGCGGGTTGTCAACATGCAGTGCCGGCCGTAGAGAGGCACGGCGTGCGGTGTAACGACATTGAAGATACCACAAGGGTGTGGGTGTAGTACCGGCCCTAGAAGGGCCCGGTGAGCGCTGATTGATTGCGCTAGATGGCACCACACTTGGCGTGCAGTACCAACCCTGTGTGGGAGTTCCGGCCGTAGGATGAGGTTACTAAAGGCCATGGCACTCTGGTTGACCCGAGAGGACACGTGACCAGTTAAGTCTACCAAGGGGCCCCAAGTGGGGGCTAGGGGAGTCACGTGGTTGGGATCCAGATCCTTCCCGAGGATTCTGGAAGGTGGTCGTGGCCCAGGGCGGAGCCGGCCACGCCACAGAGAATATAAGCCGGGTCCCCAGAGGGACCGGCATTGTTGTTCACCCTGAAGAAACCTTCGTCTACGTCTATGTTCTCCGTTCAACGAGTCTCCAACACGTGGACCTGGACCCGAGCTGTGGTGCCAGTCCGTAGTAGCAGTTACGTTGTAACTAGTGTAGTTCGCCTAGTGGTCATCACTCGGTTAACTACACTAGTTACTTTGTGACTAGTGTAGTTAGCCTGGTGGTCACCACCATAGGTTGCTATTCTGTGAAGGGGAAGTTACCCCGTTTGTTGGAGTTGAATAAATGTGTTGCCTCAAAGTCTACATCTGTGACTCAGTTGAACTCACCACAAATGCATATAATACAACAAAGCCACCCTGTATCGCCTTAACAACTGTTGGGGCAAGAGCTGTTGGCTAGCACCTATGAAGGCCTGAACGGTACACATAAGGGGTGGGTGGCCAGCATCATGCCTGACACCCTTTGTCTCCCAAGTCGCAATGATTACACACCACACCAGGTACTCATTTTGTGGCTGAGTCGACCTAAGGGAGGCTCAGCCCGGTTTAGATTATCGTCACTGATGGTGGCCGTGAGCGGAAATCGAATTCGGGTCACCAGGTTCGTAGCACAGCACGCTAACCGCTGCACTACCGCTCCTCACATAGACATACATATACACTTCCACACACGAACGGAGCATTAGATTGTCAATTGTTCTATACGTATTTAATCCACGTATAATATTTATTGTGTAGTCTTGGAGTTTTATTCTGTTAGTTATAAAGGCATTGGAGTATAAATTATAGATCTTCTTTTAAAACTCAAATAATTTGAGCATTTTTTAATCAAGTTATTCAGCCATAGATGGCATCTCTGCTCACTGCAGGGACACTATTACGTGTGGCCAGTTCCATTGATCGGTGGAGTCTTTGGTTCAAGATAGCAATGCACGCACGCAGACACAAGGCTATGAATATCAATCAGCTTCAGGCCAACAACGCTGTTAATGGATATGCATATTATTCCATGATCATCGATTCAAATGTATTCTCATGCTCACGTGTTAAATTGTCCGAGTAAGAATACATTTTTTTAATTCAATGGCATGCAAATGACTCCTTTGGGAGAATGGGCTCCATGAAGGAGATGGCAATGCATGAGGCACAGCACGAACACCAGAAGGACAATTTGGATGAACGAATGACGGGAGACCGTGAAGAGAGACAATACAAATTGATCTCCCGCTCAAATGAGTTTAGAGGCAGTGGTGCTCATCTCTTGTTTATAGCCCTGAGCCTGAGTGGAAATTTATATTCCTATGCGAGGGGCAAGTTGATCCAGAGGACCCACACCTCCGATTAGAACAGTTGATTACATATGGTGCAAAAGAAGTTCAACATACATATATACAACCGCTGTTGCCTTCCCCACAACACAGTACTTATTTTTTATTATTTAGTTCTTTCGGTAAAAGTCACGTAGATAGAAAAATTAAAATAAAGTGAATAAAAAACCCCATTAATGTAGACTGTAGCCTAGTTCCTAATCGGAGTGAGTGCACTGGCAGTCTATAATGTAGACTGCAGCCTGGTTCCTAACCTCGGTGAGTGTAATGGCAGTCTATAATTAGGCTGTAGCCTGCTTTTTAAGCTTGGTGAGCGTATTGGCATTCTATAATGTAGACTGTAGCAACGGTTATTAAACTGAGTGAGCGTACTGGCAGTCTAAAATGTAGACTGCAGCCCAGCTCCTAACCTGAGTGAGCGTACTGGCAGTCTATAATGTAGACTTATTCTTTGTTATTTCAGTAATAAAAAATAAAATAAAAATAGCAAAAAATAAATAAAAACAAAAACTACGACGTTTCGATCACAACACAAGTGATCGTCTTCAGGAGGACAGCCGAAGATGGTCAACTAAGGCAACCGTTAATACAGGTTTCAAAAATGGGCGTGGTACAAGAACAAAAGCTCCTGCGGCGCAACAAAGTGGGCGAGGCATATGTATCCTGGGGTTAGAGAGCACCAATGTGAAGCACAGAGCATGTAGTGCCACAAAACGTCTTCGTGTCAGAATGAACTGGGCGGGGCATATGTGCCCTGGGGCAAGACAACAAGAATACAACACAAATAAAGTCATGACTTGACCTGTGCTCCCCCGACAAGAAAACACAAATCAAGTCACGACCCAAAGTGGTTGATGACCATCCTCTCGGTTGAAATTGTCTGTGTCTGTATATATGGGTGGCTTCATGAACGAATCTTTGTTGATAGGCAGTGGGCTTGCAAAGTACCATCATCTTAGAGAAATACATTTCGTGTGAGCTAGCCGCATTAAAATAATGATCAGCCACGGCAGAAGTATTGGTCCTACCGTGTTTCAAATCTGCCTTATGTTCACGAACACAGTCCGAGACATGTCGCTTAGTTTACCCAATGTAACTGCTGCCGCAGATACAGCTTAGTTTGGTTACCTCTGCTATGTATGGCAAGGTGATGGTTTTGATTGGATCCTCAGATGGCTCCCTCCTCACGGTTGGGGTGATGGCTTTGCGGATTGTGTAGTCAGAGTATCCATTCGCCTTGAGCGCTTGGTGTACGTGTTTGAGTTCACTGGTTAGGTGTTTATGGTCGGAGATACATTGAGCTCTATGGTGTAGCGTTTTGATGAGGGAATTCTTCTGAGATGGATGGTGGTGCGAATAAGGTTTTAGGTAGGCGTCAGTATGGGTTACTTTCCTGTAGACAGAATGGCTCATTCAGCCATCTGGTTGCTTTTTTATTAGGACATCCAAGAAAGGTAGCATGCCATCCTCTTCTACCTCCATGGTGAATTTGATTGCTGGGTGTATGAAATTCATGTGGTTGAGGAATTGCCTCAGAGCCGGTCGGCCATGTGGCCAGATGACAAACGTGTCATCCACGTACCTCTTCCACAAGGGTGGGCATAGAGTGGATAACTGGATGGCGTCTGTCTCAAGATTTTCCATGAAAATATTGGCTACAATCGGAGATAAGGGAGAACCCATTGGGGTGCCTTCAGTTTGTTTGTAGAATGTTCCATTCCAGATGAAGTATGTATTTGGTGAGGCAGTGTCTCACCAGGGCCGGTACATCAGAATTCAATCCTTGTTGGACCAAATCTTAAATTATTGCAATGGTATTGGGCACAGGAACTTTGGTGAACAAAGAAACTACATCGAAACTAACGAGTAAATCACCTGGGGACAGTGAGATGTCCATAATTGATAATACCAGGTGAGCTGAGTTAAGTACAGAAGAGGTGGTCTTACCAATGAATGGTTGCAAGGTCACAGACAGATATCGGGCCAGTTTGTAGGTGGGTGAGAGCCAATGGTGGAGACGATGGGGCGAAGGGGTGTACCACCTTCTTTATGGATTTTTGGTAAGCCATATAATCTGGGTGGTCTAGCAGCAGAAGGTTTTAAGGAAACCCGTTTGGTCAGTTCAATTAATGAAGCTGAATCAGTGATGATACTGTTCGTTTTTGTAATGAGGCTGTGGGTGGGATCTCTTTTGATTTTTGTGTAGCTACCATCATTAAGTAGGTCCTGTATTTTGTTATTGTACACGGTTTTGTCCATGATAACCGTGGCATTGCCCTTGTCGGCTGAGAGGATGAAGATATCATCTCTCTTTTTAAATTGAGATAACTCAAAACACTCATCCTTACTGATGTTGCTGGCTTGTATCTTAGCGCTTTTTAAGGTTGTAGCGATTTCAGATCTTGTCACATCTGCAGCGATGTGTCCCAAACCCTTAAGAGCTGCATCGACCTGGGCAATAATGTTCTCCACTGGTATGTGTTCGGGGGTGACTGTGAAGTTCAACCCTTTAGCTAAAACCGACTTTAGACCATCAGAAATTGGGCTTTTACTCAGATTAATAACAACTTTGTCAACGTCTAACTTTTTAATGTGAGGATCTCGTTTCTTCTTGGAAAGGAGGTTGAACTTGGAAATTAGGTTATCTTTAAATTTAGCTGACATTGCAGCGGCTGATGAAGCAGTCATGTTATCTACATGTTCCCAATCAGATGTAGACATTTTTTCTTTCAATGTTAAGTGTGATTTCAAGAGTGTCTTGTCTACATGATCTAGTTCAGTACAGAGCAGTCTAATTCTCTCTGAGATCAGGGCCAAGCTAGCCCTGAACAAAATTCGTTTGGCATTGGAAGATGTGACAGCAGCAGAAGTCAGTGTAAATGAGATTGGTATTACCGTAGAGTTGCGGCATCTCTTCAGAAATGTGAGTGACTCGATCAGATGAGCTTTCTTGTCTTAGAGCTTGTTAAAAGATCTTATGGTTATGTGGAAACCCTCCCCATAGAGGCGGTTAAATTTTGACTTTAAACTTTCGTGACCGCAGGAATTCATATTCTTTGGTTCTTTTGGTAAAGTCACGTAGATAGAAAAATAATAATACAAATATATGAATAAAAAAATCAGTACCTATTTTATTGACCCAGGAGATGATTGGCCGAATCAACCCCTCAATCAGGATTTGAACTCGCAACCTTTTGATTGTGAGTCACTCGCTCTACCACAGGCCAGATCTTGCCTGGAGCACTAAATGCTGGCCGCTGAGCCTTTACACTTGTCCACAGAAAATACAATGGCTTTTTAATATACATCGATTGTACAATTTGATCCTGCAATTTGAATTATACTTCCGGATTGCACTGTCCAGATCAGAGATGGGCAACCCAGACAAACTCGTGGGCCACATTAAAGCTTGAAATCGTGCTTATGCAATAATCATGACCCCCACGCACAATCCTCAATACACTTAAAACAGAATCTATATTTATCCTGAAGGAATCTCATGAGCTATGAAGCTCTTTTTCACAGACGTCCAGTAGGTGCGGGTCACCAAGTTACAACAACAAAGACAAACAATGATAGGATTGTAAAATAGAGAAAAGGTAAGCAAGTTACAGAAAATAAGAAAATATAAATAAATTATATAAGTATAAATTACATAAATTCCTACGGATTTTTTTACACTAAATGCAAGCTTGGAAAAGGCAGCAAAACAACAACAGTCCCAGACCACACCAAGACAACACACAGTCCCTCAAATGTACTGCACATGAACAATGAACTATCGATGATGAACGGTAAAAAACGGCCACCACGAGGGGCTGCAGGGGCTGCATGGGCCACAGGTTGCCCACCACTGGTCCAGAAAAACCCTTTGCAAGTCGCCCCCCTATCTGTGGCCACGTGTTGTTGTTGATGCAGCGACATGGCCCAACACATTCTCTAATTGTGGCAGCAGTTCATTTCTGGCAGGTTGCCGTGTTAAATACCGCTGTGTATTAACCATAAAATACTGTGTGCTGGATCTTAAAATATTGTGACATCAATTGATACGAGTAGGCCATTGTGTGCCGGCGTCACGGTCCTAATTTGCTAAATAAAAAATGTAACTGCAAATTTCTCAAATGGCATTACACACAGCAGCATCATCATCGCTCGTTATTGGCAGATTAATGCCTGCTAGGAGGCCAGTGCTGTGTTACCTTGTACAACACAGGGACAGCTGCCACTGGGAATGCCCTCCAAACGTTTGAGTTGAGAAGTGATGGAAGGTGCTTTGAGTTTGTCGAGGCATTTAAGATAATGCCATATAAATGCAAAGATCGTTATTAATGGGTAGCTTTTGCGCACCTCTCCAGGGTCATCCCCGCCTGGTCACCGGCATCACCCAGGTCCCCAGAGTCCCCGGACTCTGCCAGGACCCCGGGCGTCCCCCCTGGACCCCCCCATGACTCGTGGGGGTCTTGTTCCGCCGTTCCAGGTAGCTCCTCTGTGCGGATGACGGGAACCAGTCCTGGAGTCGACTCCAGGCTGAGCACGCAAAGGCAAAGGTCTCGGCATTAGCCTCATCAGAGGGCCTTCCTAAAGCAGCACTCACAAACATGGCAGCTGCCACGCGCAGCATTACACAACCGATGAAGATAATTCCAGTCGACCGAATCAATGTGATACCTCTGCTGCCAAATCAAAACTCTTCATGGAGTGTGTATGTGTGAGAGTGTGAAGCTCTTTTTCACACACATACACACTCAAACAAAGACATTTTAATTTGTTTTGTGTGTGTGTGCGTAACAGCACTTTTCCCAAAAGTCTTTGAAGGCTATATGGGAGTTCTTTGTGTGTTTTTTATGTGAGGGAGTGCAGGGAATGGTGGTGTAGCGTTTAACGCGCTGCACATCGAACCCAACGATATGAGTTCGATTCTCGCTCATGGCACAACACCAGTGACGATTATCTGAACAGGTCTAGGGCATCCCCTAGGTCGACTCAGCCTCAAATCAGTACCTGGTGTGCTGTGTAAGCATCGCTACTGGGGAGATAAAGGCTGTCGGGCATGATGCTGACCACCCACCCCTTCGTGTACCGTTCAGGCCTTCATAGGTGCTAGCTAACAGCGCAGGCTCCAACAGTCTGTTAAATGCTATACGGGGGATCTTTGTCTAGACGTGAGGGAGTGAAGTTTATGTTTTCCCCTTGTTCTGTGGGTTCTCCAGTTTCCTCCCATAACGAAAAAACCCGCACACAGTGAAACTGGTATTTGTAGTGGATTCAACTGAGTCGCAGACGTATTTCGTGGAGGCAACACATTTATTAACATTAACACATGAACACAAAGGGGCTACTGCCCTTTTACCAGATAACCTTCTGGTGGTGGACCACCAGGCTAACTAAGCTAGTTACTGGGAGTAGCTACAATGGACAGGACCCTGGCTTGGGTCCTCGTCGACGTGTTGGTGACTTCTTCTTGGACGTAAAACATAGATCGTAGATCTTCAGATGACGACAGCAACGCTGAACCCCGGTCCCTGTGCGGACCTAGTTTTTATGCTCCCGGGTCGTGGCTGGCCCCGCCCTTGGCCACGACCACCTTTGAGAAACCTCTTGTCGTGTCGCGACCCTTCCCATAGGATCTCACCCTGACATGTGACCACCCCCAAGCCTCCAACTGCGGCCCTTGTGTAGATCTTACTTGTCACGTACCTTCGTGGCACTCAGCCGTCCTGGCTGTCAACTCCCCCTTAAAACGAACTAAGTAAGGTGATAAAAATGAGTAAAACATGATTAAATGCTATGTGTGCCTCAAAAAATAAGAATTACCAATTATATACCCAAACCCACCTATCCAATATTTACGCTACCTACAAATGTACATTAACAACTTTCCCGAACCCAGTGGAGACGGTGCAAGCAGCGGCGCTGGGGACGTCAGGCGCGCGGCACCTGGGGAAGGGATCACATGACTCCGCTGAGGACCACCCTCAGCGGGCACACACCCCGGCTCGCCGGACACATCTGACACTCGGGCCCTGCGGTGTGGAGATGGAACGAACTCGCCCGGCGCAATGAAAGGTTTGAGGCACGAGGGATGTACAAACCAACTCCGCCGTCCTAAGCGGATCTGGACACACTGTGGTTGAACGACCCGAATCACATCAACCGGCCCTCTCCAAGGTTTGAACAATTTGGGTGATGTACCCACCGGAACATATGGACAGTGCAACCAGGCTCTGTCCCCAGGCGCCCACTCATGTGCAGAAGCAAGGGAAGCCCTCAGCCGCTCATTGGCCAATTGGCGCAAATTGGAATTTCCCCTAGAGGCTTCCCACGCTTCGGAAAGCTTTGAAGGGTGAAACACACAGTCAGAAATTTTAGATTTAGCTTTGTCGCGCGCGGCTTGTAACTGAATATCAATCGGGGGGTCATGCTCTCTTCCATACATTAAAGAAAACGATGAGTAGCCAGTGGATGCATGAGGGGCCATCCTATATGCAGATAGGACTCCGGGAATGTGTAAATCCCAGTCGAGTTGGGACTCGCTGACCTGGTGGCTCAACATGGACGACAGAGTCCTGTGTAGGTGCTCAACCATGCCATCCGTCTGTGGGTGGTATGGTGACGTGCGTACTTTTTTTGTTCCCAACAAATTGCACACCTCCCGCAACATCTTTGAAGATACATTTTTTGCCCTGATCAGTCAGAAGACGTTCAGGAGCACCATTGTCCATTACATAGCCATTGAGGAATGCCTCAGTGATCGTCGCCGCTGACTGGTTGGGGAGCAGCCAGGCCACAGGCCATCGTGAAAAATACTCGACTTCCACCAGCAAGTACTTATTCCCATGAGGGGTAGCGGGAAATGGACCAAGGATGTCTAGTGCAACTAACTCATTAACGCGGGAAACCTGAATCGATTGTAATGGTGGACAACAGGGTTTCGCCAGCGGCTTCCGCCGCGCACATTGCACACACCCTTTCAACAAATTAGCGACATCCTCAGCCATGCCAGGCAAAAAAAGAAGTCCAACTTAAGTGTGGCCAGCGTCTTATGCACACCTAGGTGCAACAAGCGCTCATGTAACGCCCAAATTAACTTGCCCCGCAGGGCAGTGGACACAACGATGTTGTATCGGCGCAACCCTCCGTCCCAATGCATGAGCAATCCGCCTCTAAGAAGAGGTGATACCTGTTGTATATAAAGGCCTTAATATTAACAATAATTCTGCCATTTGTTTAAAGATAATAATCGATAAAATAAATAAATAAAACTCCCTCAAACCCGCTACCTCCCACAAGCACCAAGCATCTGGAGGTCGTAAAAGGCCATTAAATAATAAACTCCGGGGCAAAGGGAGGTTAACGACAATCTGAAAAATCTCCAGATTGCCAAAGGACCGCATGCCATGACCTGCTTGGCGCTTTGGACAGTTCACAAACAGATATTCAGAATCACAGGCAAGGACACAGAGCACAGGGCAAACGGACATTATAACTGATATACTTTTTTTGAACGGAAAAAGTAGAAGCTTGGCTATAAGAATAAGTCGACATTATAGACTGCAGTATTCCTTATATTATTCCTTATTGTATCTTTCTATCTACGTGACTTTACCAAGAGAACCAAAGTACATGAGTTCCTGCAATCACGGAAACTTAAGTCCAAACTAAGCTATATCTCTGACCTAGAGAATAAAAAAGCACGGATCCCTGGATGCAGACAGGGAGCAAAAAGTAATAAAACCCTTGAAATACCGGAGGTAACATCTAAAGACATTACAAATCTTGGTTAAACATGAACCACATAATAATCACAAGAGATTAGACCTAGGGTAACTCAAAAGAGATATAAGAAAATAGGTCAAACACACAAGACCAGATAATATGTATTCCATGAAATCAGAGGCTCCCTGGCCACCTTTGTCTTCCAACAACTTGACACAAACACATGATAGTCATAAAATACGTATGAAAGGTGCGTCCCCTCCCTTAGCAGACACCACGAAGAGAGGGGTTGGGAGTGCAAACAAACATCAATTTGATGTAAAGCAGCCCGCCGAAGTCACCAAGGAAAGAGGGGGGAGCAATCAGGCGCGGCCGCGGGGGGAGAGCATGACGGAGTAAGCATCTGTTCTTTTCTAGCAAGAGATGTGCAGAGGGGAAACATTTTCAGATATAAACAGCAACACGACACACAATTTTAAGCTCGGCAAGGGACAGCGAGACAGCAGCTCAGAAGAGGACAGCAAGCCAGCTCCGGAGCATGGCCTCGAGATCAACAATATGTGTGGTGCATCGCAAATAAGAGGGGCGAGGTGATGTTAGGTGCTGAGTTCGGCATGGACCGACAGAGTATTGCTGAAAGTTTATTCTACATTCATCCTGATGTTTTGAGTCACTTGAGAATCGAGGATTGCGATAAGTTGTATCGTACTAAGCTATCAGAGTTGTGTAAGAGGTGCGCAAATACAATTTTCAAGTTTTGAGAGTGAGTGATCCAGCCAGCGACGAGCAGCTCACAGCAAAAGCCCTCCTGGAAGAAGGGTGAAGAGCACGAAAGTTGAGCAACGACAAAGCGCAGCCCTGAAGTAAGGGCGGGTGTCCGTGTGAAGCTGGCAGCTGCACGATCAAGGAGAGAGCAAGAGAAATGAGAGAGAAAGAGTGCCGAGCGACGACAAGCAATCATCCTGGAGAAAGGACGGAAAGCGCCAAGCATCGACCAAGCCAGCATCACAGAGAACCAGCTCCACCGAGCAAGGGTGTCTGCCACCAGCGAACGAGCTGCACGCGCAATCGAGCATCGCCAGAGAGAGAGACGGAGCAAGAGAGAGAACGAAGCCGTTTGTATGACCCTCCCCCACACTCACACCCTCACGACGCATCGCCCGGCGTCTGCTTTACGCAAAGAATTGAACAAGTGGCAAAGAACACACACAACACGCATATCGGGACAAATGAGATTGTTCCAAAAAGTTATCTTTGTGTTTCAAGAAGGGTTGCCATTCCAAAGTGGTGCGTTAAATATCAACTGATCGTGAAGAACATTGCTGCCCATTGAGTTGTAGATACGGTCATTACCAATGAATTAATTGATAACTACTCTTGCCTTCGGGACATGTTTCTTTATTGCCCTTCGTATGGATATCATTGCATTAATTCTTAAGGACTTTTCCTCTCGCCGTGTATGCTCGCGTACTCTGAGGAATAATCGATTGTACTGTTACCCAGTTAACGAACGTGACCATTGAGGGTTAAATATATAGATCAATGAGGGGAACATCTCCAGGAGTACTATTTTGACAATTCCAAGCATAAGAGTTCGCATATTAGAGTGTTATGTTTTTGTTTAGAAATTAAAATTGCTTAACACAGAAGTGTCTGAGTGGTGCCTTCCTAAGTTCATGCATAATAATCTTAATTATAAGAACTGTATCCTGCGGTGAGATTTGAATTTGGAGACCTGATATAAACACACTAAGACATGATCAGTAAATGTTAAAGCGAGAATAATTGTATTATACCGATTGATAATACAA